AAAAAAAAAAAAAAAAAAGTAAAAAGAGGTCCGACGTGACACGCTTTCTCTTTCCTCAAACTGCCTGCCCCCCGATTATCTGTTTGTGATTTTCTGTAAGAATGCCTCCCCACGCTCCCTTTTATTTCCCCTGTCGCGTCACTCCAATTCTGTGCATAAAGACAGGGCGGTAAATTAAAGCAAGATATGATAACAGTCGGGTATTTCAGCAAATTCGGCGGTGTTTGGTGAGGAGATTTGAGGGTTGGCGTAGATGAGTCCCCCCTGAGAGGAGGGCTGCAGTGATCCAGAGGGTGATGTAGGCGAGATATCCCATTCCTTTCCCAGCGCTGTATCAAACATAATGAACGATTGGTGGCCGCCGAATGTTGAGATATCGGAATCGTGGAGACAACGAGGGATCGGGACGGGAAGAAGAGTTCGGGATCGATCGGGATAGAATGATTAGAAAGTCCTCAAGGGTGATACACCAGACAAGAACATCATGGCTTCTCGTCTACTTCTTGGCCGGTGTAGGAGGAGCCTTGACGTTGTTGCTAAGCCACGCCAGACCTTCCAACAGACCCTCACCTGTGGTAGCGCAGCTAGGCACCACGTACCACACCTTATCCTTGAGCTTGGAGAGCTGAAGAGCCTCGGTAACTTCCTGAGGCTTCATAGCTGCGAAACAGTTAGCGCGCGCGACCTTTGGTACAGAGGCGATATGAACTTACCCTCTGCCAAATCTTGCTTGTTGGCAAACACAAGTAGTAGACTGTCCTTCATCTCACGATCGTTGATGATGCGGTGAAGTTCTTGTCTAGCCTCCTCCATTCGGTTCCTGTCAGACGAGTCGATAACGAAGATAAGACCCTGCGTTCCTGTATATCCTCATCAGTACATCACCTCCTTGAACTCTCGAAAGCTATAACCTACCACTAAAGTAATGTCTCCACAGAGGTCGAATCTTGTCCTGACCACCAACGTCCCATACGTTAAACTTGACGTTCTTGTACGTGACAGTCTCGACATTGAAGCCGACGGTGGGAATGGTAGTGACGTCCTGGCCCAGCTTGAGCTTGTACAGGATAGTTGTCTTTCCAGCAGCGTCGAGACCGAGCATGAGCAGGCGCATCTCCTTGGATCCGAAGATCTTGCCCATCATCTTTGAGAATTGACCGCCCATGATTGCGGTTTGTATGTGTGGTTTGGTTTCGGAGTATCGCTCGTGGGGATGGGGTGATAACAAGGGAGGGATTGTATCGTTGGTTCGTTTTTCGATCTGTTCTCAGCGCAATTCTGTCAGCCTCGTCTTTTCTTTTGATGATAGCAACAAGGCCAAAGCTTCCCCGGGGTAGCGGAAGAGAGGGACAAAGAAACGACGTGTCAGTTCCAACGGTGTCGTTGTTGACGGCCAAAGAAAGGAGGCTCTCGCGAAGCTTTGTCTGCCCTTGTACCACACCCGTTTGTCTCTGAAAAAGAAGATCTCGTACATACACCTTATTCGCTTCTCGCTCTCGCTCGCGGGTATCGGATCGTAGGATGTGGTTGTTTATTTTGTTTTGTTTAGATTAAGCGGTTTCGTAATAGTTTCCCTTTGCCTGGGGGTTCAAGGTTGGGTTGTAGGGGGAAAATATCCGTAGTGTAGTAGCGTTGTCAAACAAAAAATGGAAGAGACAAACTGACGTGACCTGACCTGGACCTTTGGGGTATTACAGTAACAGTAACAGTAACGAACCAAGAGAGTCAAGTCAAATGGATCCCATCAAACAATCTGTTGTTACAGTGGTATAGTACAATCACAATCTCTACTTTTTTTCTCCCCCGTCAGGGGAAACGGACAGGACCAAGCGAAAGCGGCATGCTTCCTTCCATTCTCCGGAGTGCACAACTCACTCTCCCTCTTTCTCCCCTGGACCTGAGCCCCTCTCGGTCTAGCGTCCAGCACGGGGCAACCAGGCGGGCGGGGACTTATTGATAGCCCAGTGCTGCTACTGGGCCAAGTCACCTTATGACGAATGAATAGGCCCCTGAGCCCCCTGCCTGGTCCCTGAAATAAGATAACGGTAGACTGTAGTGTAAGGTACGCGACCCGCTTTCTTAAATGGCCTGGCCTCAAAATACAGCCGCCATAAACAGCCAAACGGTGGGTGGCAGCAGGGTGTCAGAAGAATTGATCGTCATAACCAAGCATAAGAGATGAAATAGTTTGGTTATCTTATGGCAATTTAGAGAAGTATTTAGGCTACTTTATTTTAGTAGTATAAACCTTAGAGGACATTTCTTCTGTTACCCACCTGGTGGATACCTTAACCTCCGAAGTAATAACACATGCGCATATCAACAAGGTAATAATCATCAATGCTTGCTGTCATGTTTATAATAGCGCATCTATAGTCTTATAAGTAGACCTGTTTCTCGGATCTCATAACGTCCGCTACAACGTTCATTAAACGAACAAACGCATAGTCTATATATATCCCGGAGCATAACGCGGCAACTCCTCTTGCAAAAAAAGCCTCCATCCGTACGCCCTCGTATGACTCTCATCACAGCTTTACCCAGATGCAGTCACGTACCCAGGTGCAGTTATGTTTAGCCTTGGCAGACTATGCTCTGTACTCAATCACAAATCGCCTCTCAACCTGCTGCAGTGTTGATGAGTCGTTTTCCCCTTCGAACTTGAGATTGACCTTGCCATCATTGTCCATGCTGTGAACCTCCGCTTTATAGAATGTCGTCGTGTTGGGGTATAGCGCCAGCACCACTTTGCCCGACTCCCAATCTTTGAGTGTGGCAGCCTGGCTTTCAGGTGTGATGGGAATCATGCTGCTGGCACTTGATCGATACTCCTTCTGTTTGCTTTGGTCTTCAGGCTCTATATCGAGGACCTTGTAGCGTCGACTTTTGCCTTCACCCATCACCTGTGCAACTTCACCCAGGATCCAATCTGATTGTGAATCACCACTCAGTGCCTTTGGTTTGAATGCGACTGCGTCGCCTTTCTGAAAGACAACTTTGGACTTGTTGTTCCCTGATCCGACACCGCTACCCACTGATCCCTGAGGCTCGACACTATCGGCCTTGGGCGGCATGCTGTCGCGGTCTCGTTCTCTTTCTCTCTCCCGCTCACGGTCTCTGGCTCGATCGCCGTATTTCCGCGAATTCCCTCCAATAGGGCTTGGTACGGGTGAGTCACCTACTCCATCAAAGTCGTAGAGTGAGGAGGCTGCTGCTGTAGTATCTCGGGCTGCCCTCTTGCCAGGCCCTGCTGTTTGCGCGTCCTGTTGTTCCTTGGCGTGCACCACGGCACGCAACACTTTAAGCTGCTCGATTGTATTTTTGAGCGATGCCATGTTAGCTTCGGAATGCTTCACCCCTGTCCGACATAGCTGCTCCATTTCCTTCAATGAATCTCCGGGGATCTTTTCCAGCTCCATGGCGCCAACTTTCTTATCCATGTTAACAAGCTCAGTAAGACTGTCGTTCTCCGCGTTGATCCCCGAGACAATCTCCCCCACTTGACTTTTACACAGCTCCCAGATTTGCACTTCCTCTCCGTGGGTATTGCCATTGTTCCGGTTGGACGCCCGCCCGCTGCGGTTTCGTTGTGACATTTCGCGATTTTGGCGCTCCAGTGGCTTCACCGACTCTGGGCGCGGGGTATTGGTTTCACTTCTGCCCGGTGACGACCGTCTGGGCGTGCCCACGTCCGAGGTAATATCCCGACTATGGTTCTTGGTCCTCGACTTTGACGGTCGGTTTGGTGTAGAATCTCTGCTCGAAGGATCCTGTCGCTTGGAGCTCGATCGTTTCGGCTCGGGAGTATTGGAGGATTGCCGCTCTTGAAAGCTATTCTCTCTTGAATGAGTACCACTTCGTCGGGGCTTGAGAGGGATTTGGTAGTAAGGGCCGAGGTCTTCTTGGAGGTTCTTGAGTTCGTCCCGCGCAGGCTTCTCCCTGTTAGCCATCCTGCCCCGATACCACCCGCCTAAACAGAATGTTGCGATAAGAATCAACCCGAGGAAGGAAACATTTCAATGATGACAAAAAACCAACAAAAGTAGATGCGGAAGCAAAAAAGAAGCCAAGAGGCGTGCTTTTGGGGATATGCATACGGAATTCATCAAGAAAAATTGACTAACCTGAGTTTAGAGAGGCCCGAGTGCTCTCACAGGCCGAGGTGGGCAGAGGCGGGATGGTATGGGGAAGGAAAGGCGACTAACACAGAAGGCGCGTCGCAGTCGAGAAGTGATCGGCGGGGGAAAGAAGAAGTATTATTGTCGAGTAAAAAGCATTAGTACATGTGGATGTTAGAAAGATACTTTGCTGCGTCAAATAAAGCTTAATCGGGCTTGCTGGGTAAGCGGGTATCGTAGATCGTGTCTGTCGTGATGGTGCATGGTCTTTCTATAACAGTCGAGAGGCTGATGATTCAATGTTAAGCTCCAGCCTCCTGCGGCAGAAACCATGGAAGGCGGTGAATACCCCGGTCGGTAACAGAAGCATTGTCCTCTGAGGCTTAGGTTGCTAAAATAAAGTAGCCTACGTGCCAGTCTAAGCTAGCATAAAGTGACCAAATAATTCCGTCTCTTATGCTTTTGGGGCCAATTCTTCTAATACCCTGAAGACACCTGAGCTGGGATTGACCATTTGGGATGAGAGCTTCTACGCCTAGCGGGGTCGAAACAGCAATGGCTGCAGGTGGGCTGTATTCTACAGTGTTGTCGTCCAGTAAGGGTAGGAAACGTAATTTTTTCTTGAAGCATGAGGCTTCTTAAGCTTTATGCGTATTGCTTGCTGTTAGAAACGAGGGCTCAAATTGCCATGCAGATGGGTATCAGAAGAATCGTCCTCTAAGGCTTAGGGTACAGAAATAAAGTAGCCTAAACGCTGGCCGAAACTGACATAAGATGGCCAAAAGTATTTCGTCTCTTATGCTCGGCAGTCAATTCTTCTGACGCCCCGACGGCTGCCCTCTCATATGCTTTTGTGTTGATCAGGGTTAACCTTGGACTTGTTGTCGTCTGACTTTTGTATCTCTGTGCTGAGCCTTGGTCTCAGTCATAGGTAATAGATGAGATGTAAGAGACTCCTCTTCACCATAAGACGCAGTCGCACTTCAGGCATAACGAGAATAAAGCATTTTACTCAAGAGGAACAAAGGCCATCATAGAAGCGTTACTTAATTAAAATATCTACCACAGCCCTGATCTCAAACACCAATTTGCACGCTCCCCCACACATTTATGCGATCGAGGAACTGAGATTTCCCCTGCCGCTGTTGGTCGCCATGATTGCTCGCGTGGTTGTAAAGGGTCGTCCTGGGGAAATAGATCGCACCCGGAGTACTCGAACCGCGAGTCTAAACGGAGATGACTGAATGAAGTCCGTTTCTTGAGACCTTCAAGCAAACTTTCACCACAGCCCCGATCTCCAACGCCAATCTTCACGCTCTCTCGCACAAGCCAGAACACCTCTCTATAGCTTCTGTTTCTCCGAATCATCAATCTCACAGAACGCCTTGAACGTCGTAAACTCATCATCCTCTCCACCCTCAGACTCAAGCACCAGCTCAGCGCTGGCTCCCACGAAGTACACATAGCCCTCCTTCATCTCCTGAACCGTAGGTCCGACAGAGATCTTGCCCTTGCCGCTCGTGCAGATGACAATGCTGGGTCCGTCGATCTGCTCAAAGGTGGCTTTGGCGCCGTCGCCCCGGAGAAGGGTGCGCACCACGCTGAATTCTTGAATAGGAGGATCGTAGAGTAGTACTGCTGAGCCGGAGCTGTAGCCTGCCCTGTTGAGTGTTGCGTAGGGGTATTCGGTGGGTCTCATCTTTTGCTCATCGATGGGTGCGAAGTTGTAGGTCAGCATGTCGACCAGAGTTGAAACGTCTTTGAACTTGGGTGTGAAGCCGGCACGGACGACGTTGTCGGAGGCGGCCATGCACTCCATGATGTCGCCAGAGATGTAAGCGTGAATGTCATCAGCGACCAAGAACAGAGCCTCGCCGGGCTCTAGTGTGACGAAGTTGAGGAAGAAGAGCACAAAGCAACCAATGTCATCACCGAACTCGCCGTGCGTTCGCTTGACAAGCTCAGCAAGCTTCTCACCAGGAGTAGCAACGACACCTCCGCCAGCGAAATCAGCACCCTCCTTCTCAGCTTGCTCAGCCAACTTGGGCATCTGCTCAGCAATATCCTCCGCGGAAGAAGACATAAGCGCACCAAAGACCTTCTTCAGCAACTTCTTCTTCTCATCCGTGACACCATGCTCCTGATCCTTGGCCACCTGCGCAAACTCCTTGGCAGCATCATCGCCTACGAGCGCGCGCAGCGCAGGTACCGTGTCGAGGAAGTGCACGATCTCGGGGAGGGGACGGAAACCGCAGAGACCTTCGAAGGGTGTGATGGCGATGGCCATCTCTGGCTTGTGGTTGTCATCGGGGTAGTTCTTTGGGTCGCGAGCGTGAAGCTGTTCGGCGAGCTTCTTGTTGGGGTGGGCCTGGATGGAGAGCGCCTTGGCTATCGAGAGGACCTTGAAGAGGAAGGGAAGCTTGTGGCCGTAGTGAGAGGAGATGGTTTGGGAGAGCAGTGACTGGTTGTCCTCGCAGAGGTCTAGGAGAGTTCGGCCGGTTTCGAGATCTTTGGAGGGGTTTGAAGGGTGAGTTCCCATCCAAAGCTATAAGACGAACTGTCAGTCTGGTTCATACACAGCTCATGGAAATGCTCACCTCGGCGTATGGGGACTCAGACTCGATCTTGAGGTCATCAGAAGGCGTAGCAGCTGCGAACCGCGCAGCGGCAGACTCGTTACCCTTCTTTCCCCAGGCGTACGAGTTGACACCGCATTGCAGACGAATGAGAGGAACGCGCATGTTTGCAAATTGAATTCGACTGAAATTGTAGCTGTATATCGTAGAAGGCGCGTAGTCTAAAGTTGGTCTAAAACCTCAAATCGCAAGAAAGAGGAACAGAAAAATGGTATCAGTGATTAACTGTCAAATTGGAAGAAAGATGATGACACAAGCCTCGGTCTCCAATGACGGAGTGGAGGGGAATTATCAGCGATCACATTACACTCTAGTTACGTTACCTCACCAAAACTTCAGCGGAACCCCGCCAGTGGTGCAGTTCAGCGAATGTCCCCTGTAGCTCTACCGGAGTAGCGCCGCTTCTACCCCGCTGTGGGCCCTGGAACATCGACAGCCAGTTTCCTATTCTGGGTGCTTTTGAACCATGTGATCGTGAGGCTCATTACACGATATCAGGGGTTTTATATTGCAGCTGAAAGTTTGTAATTTACGTTAATGAATATCCAATTATTATGCTCGTATTGCGTCGACTACATCCAATAGTTCAAATCACATGTCATGATCAAAAACTACCATGTAAAGATATTTTATTTCGGGAGCAAGACTGGTAAGTCGTGATGCTCAAGAGATGTGTATTTCATGTACAGGTGCGTCGTCGTAATCTTGGAGATACGACGTTGGCTTTCTTGCTCACATCGAGTAAAGCCCATTCATAACTCCTTCATTATCCATCCCATTATCCTTAGTCTCAACACCATTTTTCGTTGTTGCCAAAATCATGTACAAACAGACTTATGCACCAAAAGAACACCTGTTAACAGACCATAAACACCCCCAATTGCCCTGACGCCAAAGTCTAAAACCTCATGGAGAGTATCAGGGCCCCAAGCTGTACGTGTCGTGTAGACACGTTGACAGCTGCGTAAATTTTTTGCTTCTCCCCGTTGTACCAAGACTCCAAATGGACAAAGTGCCGGATATGAATCCCGAGGACAGACGCCAGAGTATGTCAAAGATAGAGCAGAGCAATACTGCATGCATACTTTGACGACCAACCATGCAATAAGATAGAGAAAGAGAGATAGGAAGAACAGACATAGGGAGAGGGGGAGAGGAAAACACACTAAAGGTGTCGGAAGAGGGGGACTCAACCGCAAAAGCCACAGTGATACAAGACCAACGCTCAACTTGCTTCCCCGTCAAACGCTGTACTCGTCGCTGTCGCTGCGGTACAATGGTTCAGTGCATCGTGAACCAAACCTCCACTCTTGGTTCGAGGGTTCATTCCGAAAGCGGGACGATCGAATAGTTCATCCGTTTCTTGTCGTGACTGATAAGCGAACCGCCCCTTGTTCCGATCACGACATGTCCTTCGTTTTCGTGCCTTATGCGGCAGTAAGGCAGGGTCAGACCAGTAACAATGCTTGACGCTTCTAAAAAGTCAAATCTCAAAAGACACAACACACTGCAACTCCTCAGGCCAAAAGGCAAAGCAATGTACAGAACCAACAAGCCCATGCTAGAGACGTCAAGCTCGTAGCGACCCCGCACCCTTGCGGTAGTTGACTGTAGCATTGTCTGGTCCAATGTCACTAGGCAACATGTAGGCTGCAGGTGAGTGAGGCAGATAAGACGCAGCACCGTGGCCCAGTGAGAAGGATCCCAAGCCGCTACCATTGAGATGTGGCAGATCATACCGGGCACTGGACGAAGCGGCCGCTGCTGCTGTTACTGCAGTCGTCGTGTCCGTATAGCGGTACGTCATGTCGGGCCCGGGACGCAGGGAGTCGGTCGACGCGAACAGAGATGCATCCGAAGAACCAGTATGCGAGTAGTGATCATTGCTTGAGCGACCATACTGAGAGGCCATCGCAATGGGAGGATACGAGGGCAGGCAGCTCGAGGTGGATGCCATGCTGGAGGACTCGTAATTCCCGGTCGTGTAACTCGACGTGGGCTCGGAAGTAGAGCTTACAGGTGAAGTGTCCGAGGTCGAGGCTTGGGATGACTTGCTGCTGCTATAGATGGAGCTGCCCGAATCGTGCTTGTACAACGATCCAGTCGAGCTGGACATCGAAGACCGACCCACTGGCATGGGAAGTACCCTGTCGCCCATGTTGACGCCCGCTGCCATGTTCTGCATAGCAAGGCCCTTAGAGTCTGCCGCCAAGTTCTGGTATCCGAAGCTCTTGGGTTCAGGTACCATGTTTTGATAGGCAAGGCTGGTCGAGTCGGTCGTCACCGGGGCTGGTCGGTGTACCAAGCTCGTCACATTATTCCCACTGCTGTATGCGTAGTCTGGATCCGTGTCCACACACAGCGCCGACTTGCCAGACGTTCCAGAGGCGATCCTATAGCTCATGCTGTAGTCTGCGTCGTGCACGGCGGATGTGTCGTGCACAGGGTAGGATTGTGGATACATGGCAAGACCGTAGCTCTGATCATCGGCATATCCATTACCCCAGGGAAGGGGACAGTAGGGCTTCGTCTCGTACGCAAGGTTGGCGGGAGCACGGTAGGCGAAAGCTTCACCAGCTTCACTGGTGTAGGCTGGTAACCCATCTGGGTCAGAGAGAGGGTGAGTCGTCACAGGCACAGACGAGATAGCAGAGCTTCCTCGGGCCTGATACTGTCGAGAAGCATCAAGGCTGTACGTGAAGTTCTCTGTCTTGTAAATTGTTTCCGTTGATGCCACCTTAACGAGTGTAAGCCATAGCCAAGACGTCTCTTCTTATAGTCAAACATACCCTGAGAAACTGGCATGGTTCGTAGCCTGCATTTTTGCAATTCGTACAGGGTTCTCCAGTACCAGTATCACCGCTGCAGCGAATCTTCCTCTTTCGACAGCGTCCACACTGAATCTGTTGTTAGCCCGCTACACAACTATGTAAGTCTCACACACACCACACACACCAGGTAAGAGTAAGGGATAAGGAAAGTTATTGACATACTGCTACTGCGATACGTTTTCGCTGAGGTTCATCCCTGTCGCTCATGATCGTTCGCGATTCGGTATGAATGGGATAACCAGTCCCTCGACGTTCTGGATAGGATGGATAGATGTTCATCCGAGTTCCGTATCGTCGGACGACTGGATAACAGTCTGGAGTGACCATTGTTTGTCCAGTGAGAAAGGCCTAGAGTAAAAGCGAGAGACAAGAGTCTGTATGAGGACTCAAGGGATGTACTGATCAAACTCCGTCATCAAGTCAAACAATCCCTAAGTCGACTGAACAAAGTTTTCCTATCGTTCAAGGACAAAGCCTGTGGCTGACAGCCGTTCCCGGTTTTCAAGCACTCGTCCGTCGGGACTCTCGGTAAGGAAAGGGGTCTATCCAATGATAGATGAGGCAGTTGGTGTCGATGCTCCGGATAGTCAAGTCAAAGATTAGAATTAACGGTTCTTGTCAGCTTCAATAAGGCAAAGTTGCAAGCAGAACAAAGATTAACAAGACCGGAAGAAAGAAGAGATCCAAAGACCACGATATCTGCAGTCGTGGTATCTTGTTATAGTCGGTACTACTGACTTATACCTGGCCTGGCCACTTGTATGTCGTTTGTTGCCCAAGCGTAGCTACTACATGTCTTCCTCCAATAAACGGCCCTAATTGTTTGCAGCACACAGGTCCACCAGAGAGTGTTGATCGAGGTACTCCGGTGGTCCATTCCTGTATGATGAAAACAGACCCCTCGTACAACAGATGCCAGACGTTCTGAAAGCCTTTTTCAAAGTTCTGGCCGATACGTAGCATTGTATGGTTGAGATAATCCCAGTTATGCGAGGGTGGGTTGAATGACTTTCTGCAGGGTGTCTGCATCATTTGGTGGGAGTATTCATTGTCTCCCCCCACTATGGCGAGCAGATACAAACGGGCTCCCATCCCGAAAGGGAAACCCAGATCTATCGATCGGTTTGAGGCTTTTCCCCAGAATCGTATTCAGATATGCAGATTGAGTTGGTGAACCAAGACCAATTCGAATCCAAAACAAGCACCGAACGAGGAACGCCTGGCTTGTAGATGTTGAGACACAGCTTATAGACCTGACCACTTGAAGTATACAGTTGAGGTTGCAGTTGCTCTGCCACACTACACAAGATTTGAAGCGAGACTTCGGTCGGCTGTGCCTCTTGAATCGCTAACATGACAAAAGCCGAGATAGAAGACGACATTGTGATGCTCATTGTTTGCCAGCCGGCTCTTGTTCCTGTCTTGGAAAAAGGAAGCACCCAAACAACATGCAAAGGCGAGGCCGCCTAGGGCCGCATATTAACAAACGGATTTTCCTTAAACGCAGTTATGTAGACCCCACAAAGGATACAAACCCGTGATGGGCAGGGCCAGGCCAGCAAATGCAACAACGAGAAGCTTCATGACTGACTAGTCATGCAGCCTTCGTCAAAGTGGAGGCGCAGGGATTCCCTTCGGCTGTGACATAGTGCAAAGTCTCTCGTCAAGAGATGCTGTAAATTCACTGCTTGTGTCTTTGTTGTGTAACAGGCGTGTCGACAGAGCTCGGTCCAGAGACTCATAGTATCTTACACCAAGCACAGATGTCTTCACCTTGGAAGATCTGGGCCTCATTCCCTTGTCATGTCTTGTCTGAATATGTCTTGTGCATGGATATTCAACCCATGTTCTTATCATCGATGAAGCAGCAGAATACCCGGTACCTGGGTGGTGGTGGACTTACAGGCCCTTCCTTGTTGGTGTGGGCGGCAATATCCAAGCTTAGATCGACGACGATCTCGGTAAGCTACAAAACCAACGTTTCGTCAGCAGACAAACATCTGCTTCAAAACGTGGCCAAGCAAGCTTCCAATGCTATCGCCATCCTTGTAGACTTACAGGCGGGGCTGCGGCGCAGAAACTGACTGGACGCAACTCTCAAAGGATGTTCAAGTCTTTGAGCCACCCATTGACCAACATGAAAAGCAGGTCATTGAATTCCCCCTATGTCGAGCAAGCTTCAGAGTAGGTAGTAATAGGCTTTCTTCCCAACGACCCACTCGACGTGCAGACACTTCGTTTGCAATGCAGTCAGAGTCAAGAGCTAGTACTGTATAATGATATACAGTACATTCCCAGCACAGCAAACGGTCATGACTGAGAGAAGAGCACACCGCTGTATTCCTCAATGTGCAGAACGCTACAGAGTAGAGCCACAGAATTCCCCTTGAGACCTGCGGGACGGCCCCAGCCGCCGTTTGCTGATGCGTCTTAGCAATGCAGTATGCAGGACCAAAAAGCAAAGAGAATAGCCCTCACCGCACTAAATGACATCTAAACGGTGCAATTGGTGCGAGAGTAAATATAGAACCAGACTAAAGCACCCGGCTGCCCGTATTGAAAACGGCCAAGAGAAATTATTGCAGAAGGATATTGGTACATGTCGCAGACGCCATGTAAGCCGATAGGAGCAACACTCCGCTAAGATGCGTCCAGAAGAAACAAATCCCTGACGGCACGTCGATAAGCAGATTTTCGGTAAAAGCGCCACACGCGAACCGATCGTTGATGCAGGACATCGCTAACTAGATGAGAGGATATTGTTTACTACCCGCTCCCATGGCGTCAAACCATATCTGTGTGTCTTGCAGGTATCCAACTGAGAGTCCTAAAGCACGCTTTCCGCCAAGCGAGCGTCCCAAATTCTCTCTTCTAGAACATGCTTTGGCTTGAATGGCGTCGTTCAGGTACGCGATGCGCAAACAATTAGACACATTCCCTTGAGAAAACAATGCAATCTAGCTTGGCGATAGTTCAACCTCAGGACTCGTTCTGTGCGAAGAAATCTTTGACTTGACGAGACAACTTAGACATAATTTGAGATATGTTTCATTGCGTAGCTGAGCCAAGCAGCCGTCCTTTTGAGTCGGGCTTGTTTCAATGGGTTCCATAGCAAGCCCTCTCGCGTCCAGGATCAACCAGCTATCGTATTGAACCTCCATCTTCCCTCCCCGGCTGCATACAGCGAGAAGACTAGCCTAGTCAAGCAGGCTCGCTCCTCTTTTCCCTCCGTTTTTGCCTCGTGCTCATACCGTTACCCCACAACATGTGAGAAAACACTCCGTCCCCAGTCAAGGGGAGACGGTCCTTGATGGTACAGCAAGCGCAGAATCCAGGCGGAAGATTCTTTCAGGGTACATCCCGAATAGACATGCTGGCGGCCGAACTGTCATTAAAGGATGTGACGCTTGTAGATGCGAGCTCCCGTTGGTGTTGCATATAAGCGCACGCAATTGGTTGAGAGGTCCAGGGGTCTCACCCTGAGAGTCTCTTGTGACGCTTAGAATCACAGGCAAAGGACATGGATGACCAAAACGCTTTTCAGCTAGGGCACTATGCCCGTGATAGCATGAAAAGATCTGTAACGATCCGCAGGGGAGCTCGATTTGAAGATCCGGGGGTTAACACACATGCAAAAGAAGGTTCTGAAACCGTTTCTTTATCCACAAAAGGAACATCACCAGGCCACTCGGTCTTGATAGATTCAATGTCGCTTCCCGCTCGACTGAAATCGCAGTCAAAGCTGACGCCATGCACTGAAAATCGTCGACAGGGTCTTCGGAGCTTCATAGTCGTACATCTTGAGGGCTCTAGCCTCAAAGTGGCCATGCTTGTGGCAAAAGCGTCGGCGTCACCACATAGACGGAATTCAGGTTGACCAAGCAAGCCCCAACTCCTTGCTACTTGAACGTAGCGAGTCAATCTTAGAGGCAGGTATCACCAAAGGTACAATGATGCAACTGTCAGAAACAACATTGCTTCTAGCCCGGCCATCGGTGTTCGAAGCCCGTAATTCGTGAGATTGAAGATATCGGAATACACTCTGGTGTAGCATGACCAATTGTTCTTGTCTATCGATACCAGTGCCGAACCCAAGCGATTTGAAAAGTGAGAACTGATATCCATCGACATACCCTTGTCATCAGCCCCGAATCTCAGCCCAGACTCATCTACAGAATCTTTGCCGATTGAGACAGCTCAGGTGACAAGGCTTAGGGCTTGACGCCTGTCGATTATCCCAAGCTCGACCGCATCACGCCATGCGCGGGGCCGTACATTAGACTTCGATGTGGTGAAAAACATGGCGGTTTCACCCCCCGGGTGCCTTACGCAGTCGACCTTGAAGTTGTGTCCGCCGATGTCTCTGGCGACAGAACAGGAGCAGTAACCGTAGCCGAGCATGACGGGTTTCTGAACCATGTATAGACATTAGTTACAGCCTTCTGTGCTCGAACAACCAGCTCTCCAGCTAGCTCGTACAGAATAATTATTCGGACGTAAAGCCAAACATGCTGTGGCGTGCTAGCTTGCAATATCTGGTCCCTGTTGACGAGAGTGGATTACTCCGCAACAACCGTGATCTGTTGAACGTCTCGAAAGAGAGCTGTCATGTACGACAACATCTGAAGCATTGGGGAAACAGTAGGGATGCCGCCGGCAAGCGATGCCATGACAGTCTAGAGATGGGGGGCCCTGGAGATCTCATCCAGAACGACACTTGTGGTCGCTCAACAGCGGGAGGCAGATCCTCTCCGCCGTGAGTGCTTGTCGGTCAGATAGTCCGGAAACGTCGCTCATGAGTAAATGTACCCAGTGGGGGCTCGGCTGAACAGTCCACATTGTCTCCCGTTGCTTGTAGGAGTAAATAGATCTTCCGTTGAAGGACCGTAGGTGAGATGAAGGGAATTTTGGTGCTCACATATCACAAAGTAAAGAAAGAATTCAGGAGAGACTCGCCTTGATGGCAGCAACTGTCAGACTCGTGTTGTCAGGATATTCCATGCTCGTGTAATGCCACACAATGCAGTGTATATGATATTAGTTGGCGCATCCAGACCATAAGAAGTCGGAATGCTTGCCGTCAAAAGTTTTACGCTGGGCAGTGCCACTTCTGTGGGCGTTGTACTGCTGTATTCCGTTTCGCAATCCACCGCATCCCTTATCTTCTGGGCCTACGGTTATAGTCATCCCGACCGTATCGATCCCCTTCTCTGCCTCGGTCTCGATGATCGCGGTCCCGGTATCGGTTTCTATCTTGATCGTGACGGTCCCTATCTCTTCTATCGCCTCGACGATCGTCTCTTGGCTTGTGATGACGGTCCCGACTTCGGTCGCTTGGTCGCGGGCTTCGACTTCTACTTCGTCGGCGTGATGGTCCTCCGTCACCTTGTGGTCTTGGTGGTGGTCCATCCTCCTTCTCCTGCTTGGGTCCATCCCGACCTAATTTGTCCTTCATCTCATCTTCGTAGACCATCTTGTAGTTACCACCTGTGGCCTTTTCACCCTCATTGCGGTACTGGCGACGCTTCTCAAGCTCGTCAACACCTCCCCAGCCGCCTCGGCCTGCATTCGTTCTGCGTTTGTTGTTGGCATCCTTTCGCCAGACATCGCTGAGCTTGCTGACACTCTGAGAGAAATCCACGTGAATACGTCGGTCGTCAATCAGAACTCCCTGCATCTTGAAGTAGGCGGCTTCGCAGGATGCCTTATCTTCGTATTCAATGAATGCATATTGTAAGCTGTCGCCCGTCTTTGCGTCTCGAATGACTTCACAACTCAAGATCTTGCCGAATCGACCAAAGATGAGTTCCAAATCTTCGTCTCCGGTAACGGGGTTCAGTTTGCAGACGAACAAGACGTTCTCGGGAGGCTTGACTTCGGCAAACGGCAAATCTCCCATCATTTCCAGAGTGAGAGCTTGTGCCTGAGCCTCCCGATTACGACGTCTTCTCTCCAACTCTTCTTCGTCGACATTATCGTCTGCGTGCAGCGCTGCCTCATCCGCGATTCGAACGGTCTTCAATTGCTGGTCGGTAGGGGGAGGGCTTGAACTCGGTTCTCTCAAGCCAGGCGGATCGGCGTATGGATCGTCTAAAATGACGGTGTGCTTGATACGAATGTCGATAAGCGGGTGACCCTTCTCGTCCACAATCGCCTCGTTGATCTTGTCCAACACCTCAAAGCCTTCGACGACCTTTCCAAAAATCGCTGCCTTTCCATTTAGGTAGTCCGTATCCTCGCCCAATGTGATGATGAACTGTGAGCCCGCAACACGAACATCAGGGTCGGACTGGAGGGGCGCCGTGGCCATGCTAACTGTTCCCTTCTCCAAGTGTTTCAATTTGGGGTGGAAAAAGGCTGGGAAGGTTCGTTGCGACGGGTCGCCGGATACGTGACCCCATATCGAGGAGCCTCCATCAGAGTCTTTCGAGAGAGGGCCGAGGGGGTCGCCAGTTTGGAAGGAGAAGTTCTTCTGGACGGAGTGAACAGGAGAGAAGTTGTAGTATTTGACCTTGCAAAGCTTCAGAAAGTTTTCGCATAGCTTTGGCGCATGATCGACCAAGAGATCGATAACAATATCGCCAGAGCTGGTCTCCAGGAGAACCGACATCGCGGGCAATCTTTTTCTTTGTATCCACGCGGCAAATACTGAGCAGATATGCGATTGAGAATAATACGTTCGTAGGGAATTTGTCAAGTGTGAAGTCGCGGTCTTGAAGAATCAAGGAATGAGGTAACCGTCAGCCACTGTCGCGAAGCTTCCATTGAGAGATGCGACTCTAGCTTGGCGCCACGTGTGGCGGTGCGTATTATATAATCACACGATGGCTTCAATCAACCCAGACCATCAACGCTTCAGTGCAGGCGCACGGTCAAGATCTTGTGCTCCGTAATCCACTGGTAAATCTTGCTTGATTGATAAAATGAATGGATACTACAAGTTCTACATCCTTCAAACATCTCTCCATGCCAATGATTTCTTTGTCATGTTTTTGACCATGTTTCCTGCACATGCTAGGTATGGTACAACACAGGAGATCCATCGTTCTCCAATTGCCGACTCTTGCATTTCAAGAGCTATAACTCAACCTGAAACACTCTCTAGCGACCGGCGTCTTCAAATATATTGATTTCTATCTAGTCCCTTTCCGTCAAATCCCCACCGTGCGCGCCTTTCACAGGGCGATCAATCACCAGAGCCTCAACTACTAGTGGGGACTTACATATACGACCTAGGAGCGACAAGTGCAAACAATATAAGAACCAGAATAAAGACGAAGAGCAAAAGTGATAGCTGACCCGACTTCGTGTCAGCTTTAGACCAGGAAGTTTCTTTAATCACCTTGAACAGAGATGCCAATGACTTATTTTGTAGAACTCAGTATCTCTAGTCCTCCCACAAGAGACGACTTAACTAACTCTTGTGCCCACGGTACTGGAGGACTGGGTCATCATCACCGTTCTCATCCCCCGTTCCCCGAAATGATAGACCATACTGTAGCGACAACTCTCAGATGAAGAGAGAAAGAGTTTTCTGCCGAGTTGGACTCGGACTTGTTATTTATATGCGTCTGGATTGAGAGTTTGACCCACTCCAAACTCTTGCAAATGTTGTTGATCAGGTGAGTCACACAGTAGACTTTGAGCAATGTTTATCTCAAGGCATTGCACACAAATACTGCTTTTTCAAGTCATTACCTTTCGTCCATCCTTAAACTTTGAATGAGGACTGCAAAGGCATCCATGGATAGATGTAAGTGAGGTAGCGCCCCACCTCCACACTGCGGCCAAGAGGTGTACCCACTGCCATTTCGGGCAATCGGGTGGGGCCGCCAGTTCGATATAAAGGGAAGGCATCACCATCACCAGGACGCTTTCCTCACTTTTCTTTCCTTCCACAATGTACCAGAACAGGCCAGGTATAAAAGAGAAATAATAGAAAGCTTTCAGTATACCCAATGATGAGCCATATCCCAGTAGCGACGACTTACGGGCTTGTATGCCCGCCTGGTGCTAAAAACGCTAGGAGGTCCATAGGGAGGACCGTATCTGAGGGACGACCATGACAGCGGAGTTGGCGAGTTGGCGGTGGTCGGGGGCTTCGGCCTCATTTTTTGCTGATTCTATATCTTTTTGTTTGCATGCTCTGTTGCAATTGTTTTATGGTGCTTCGTGGACGCCATCGACTTTGCAGTGTCGTCGAGGTACCGTGTACTTCGAGGTACTTGTTCTCATTCTTTCCCAGATGGCTCAGTGGTCATGTCCGTTCTTTGCGCTCTGGCTCAAATGAATGTTCAATTACAGGGTTCACTGTCTAAAGGCACAGAAATCAATGCATTCTGAGTTCCATCGAATCGGTTGCATTTAAAAGTGCATATCTAGAGGAGACATGTGGAAAATTTTGGCGAATTCTCGACCGGTGGTTGTGTTACACGCTCAAATCAGCATAGGTACGCCCATCTATAGCCAAGATATGTGTGGGCGGAAGTACCTCGTCTTGCGACCGGACCGTACGTACTACGGTCAAGAATGAACATCAAAGTACAGTCGTCCTTAGGGAGGACAGCATCTCTCGTCAAGTCAGGTTCTTGACATCTTGCGCTTAACACAGGACGTACTGGAGGTATCAAGAAAGATATTGATACCGCAAGAATGATCGAATAGCCTACAAACCGATAATAGGGCTTGAGTTCACATGGCATAGAACAGCCACTGCATCAATTTTCAGTTCCAGTAACGGATAGCCGATTTGGCGAAGAATGTTAGATACCACAGACTTCAAGCATACCTATCTACGGCAAAGGGAAGATGTTTCTAGGAGCTCTGTAAGTAGGGTATAAGTCGTGTGGTGGTCCTCATTGGATTGTGATGGATGTATTGGACAATCAGCGAAGACAATTCAGAGAACCGAAGGTGCTAGACTGTCTGTTCGATGCTAGCAATTGAGGGTCACTATATGGACCTAAACTACTCAGCATAGCTTATACTTTGAGTTTCTACTCCCAAGACGTGATACACAAGTGGTAGGTGTAAATCAGGAAGAACATTACCCATATGCTGTGTGTATCTGGTTCACCCTGTGGAAGAATACAGTGTGAGATATCCCCAGAGCCTCATCCAAGTACACCTCTTCCCGTGAATCCAGTGGACCAAACCTCCAGTTTCGAATCCTTGTTTGACTCAATCAACGTCAGACTCGACCCGCAGTTAAAGTACAATTCTCCGTAGTAAAAACGTCAGAGGGCACCGGACCGCTTATATGACGTTCAATCCACAAGACCCTTAATCCTCTGTTCCAAAGAAAAAGTTTTTCTTCTTTTTGTCGCAAACAAAAATCATGATTCTGGGGTTACAGTATGCGTGGTACCTTGATGATCGACGGGGAGCAAAATGTCCGGGAGCATCAACACCAAGACACATGACCAGCAAGGATTATTCTTTATCAGGGACACAGACGCATCTCATTGGGAGAGTGAACTTCTGGAATAATAATCCTGGAAGCTGTCAACATCATTCCCAACGGCGTGGATCTCGATGGGAAGTAGTTGCCTGAAATGTTTTATTCCCGCTACGTCATATTGGAATCTGGGGTTTGACAGCTGGGGATAGCATCATATTGAGGAAAGAAATCGCCGATGCCCTATCACATATGGCGACAGAGTTCTTGGCTCAGTGGAAAGCAGTCGTCTCGGAGCGTCTTCCGTTCGCCGGATCGACAACTGGAAATCATTCCCATCACAGCGGTTTGTGTCGCGTGCTGGTGTTAGTGACGTCTCGGGTTGCGACGTAGCAGAAAGCATGAGCGGGAGCGCTAGGGAAGACTTCCCGGAGGATGTGTCAAACCTGCTTTTGGGGATATCATAGTTATTTCATTTCTACGGTTGAGTTGACAGAAGGATTGGCTGCTGGTGATAACACTACCCAATGACACAAAGGCATCCAGTGACTGTCGTACAGTGAATAGCTTACCTTCTTCAATAAGCTTAAGGGCAAGTCTTCTACTAGCGTTGAACTTGGCAGTTCGTCAAAGGGATGTCAGTCCACCATCATGACGCTTCAATACGAAAACTTTTACAGCTTCACGATGCATCAATGACTATCCAGCTGGAGCTTCGTCCCAACCAAAAGTCAAAGCTCAAAGACTCTATCACCAGTGATGTAACACATTACTACACAAACCACCATACTCACCCTACAGCATCATAACCCGCTTTATGAGATCGCCTCCCAAAAGCCCGTGCTGTAGATGATCGAGAAAACCTGCTTGTCCATTAACGTCACTGTCCCTGACGGTTAATGCTACAATACCCCAACAAAACACCACGGCTGCTGCAGGCAGGCTCATCTTGACCGAAAACGCTGTTGACCTATTGTAGTTTACCTTTTCTCGGTCTGCAAATCCTTGTCGATCGATAAGCCTGGACCGTTGCGGCGGTGAAGTTGTGTGTGTATGTGTGGTGGTGGCGAGTCGCAAACTCCCCGATCGTGATCGATACAGCCAAATCGCAGTGGTAGTTCATATCAGAGACATTATTTTTTTCACCTTAGCGCTATCAAAGCAAACGGTTTGTGTGTGTGTGTGCAAGCGCCCGGGCGCTTAATGACCTTGCTCTCCACTAGGTTAGCGAGTGTGCAAGAGATGATCTTCATTTCCCCCAACGGGCTTCTGATGCAGCAGGGGGGGCAAAGACGATCGCAACCCAAAGATTATAGTGGAGTAAAAGACGCGTGTTGTCTCCTCTTTCTTCACGAGCGGGGCCGGCCGACATGATATTGGAGGATAGAGACAAAGGGTTCGGGGTAATTAATTCTAAGTTGATGTTTTGCATATTTGGAGTTTTACATTCTTGGAGGTTGGGAGTGTTACCCCAGGTGATTGATACCCGGAATGCATTCACTTTAGATAAAACATAAGAGAGATTCAAGTCACAAGGAATAGAGATGAGAAGAGACATGTGTTTGTGGTTGCGAAATTGCATGTATATGCATTGACGTTCAAGCTAATTTGACGCTGTCGCTAACTACTGAGACCGAACTCCTCTTCTCGGGAGATCTTCATGAAAGATAAGAATAGGTAAATAAACTTGTGGCGTTTATTGTGGCCTCGTATTCCAGCGTGGCTCTTGAAGAATTGTAAAAATGAAAGGGTTGGTATGTAACAAATAAAGCCACGGGATGACACCGTGATATGCAGATATGATGCTTTCAAACACCATGAACAATAGACAAGAAATGAAGTTTGTAAAGTTGGGTATGGGCGAAGAAAAAGAAAACAAAAGAACCCCCAATGATTGCGCTTTTCCAAACAAATGTTCCTGACCTTTAGCCAATATTGTGAACGCGAGCTTCTCTCTTTTTTTACTCTTCCCGAGCTCGGATCAATTTCCATAACGCCTTCGCCAATGCCAGCCAAAGCAATAAACCCGAATAATTAGAATTAATGAATGCCAAGTTTGGTTTGTGTGTTGTGGAGGCGTATGCGTTGCCACCACTAAACAGTCATCAATCCTTTAACACGACGACTTGCATATTGGCGTGTGGATGATGTTATACATGCGTTACGAGTCTAATCGCCTGAGCTTCTGCGCCTTCGGCCGCTGCGAAGCTCCTTCTCAGTCTCCATGAGTCTTGTCTGTACCCATGTTCTGAAAGCCCGGTCGGCGCGCACGCTGCTGCAGTTGAGAAGCTCAGTGAGGGTGCGCTTGATACTCTCGTTGACTTCGGAAAGGCGCTGCTCCTCGGCAGAAATCTCGTAGATGGTCTCCTCGTCGGGAATCGTGGTGAGTTCATTGTGGTTCTCCCAGCCGCTGCAACGGGCGTGGGAGCGCGAGTGGTGACGGCCACTTCGGGAGTGCCGCTTCGGCGAGGGTGGTAGGGAGAGCGATGATGATGAGGATCGCGTTGGTGAGGTGGATGGTGAGGAGAATTGAGAGCGGGTGCTAAACTCGGGACGGATCTGGTCGAGGCGATCGCAGAGTTCTTGGTGTTGCTCTGTTAGAAGCATGTACTTCTGGAGAGCCATGGTATATGGTTGCGCAGCCATCTTTGTTGTTGTGGAATACGAAGCTGGTGTAGATAAAGAGCTTGTTGATGTTGATCGGTTGTGCCCGGAGAAGAAATGGGGTCTGACGTCTAATGACGAGACCATCGAAGCGATTCTGTTGTTGATAGAAAGAGGACGAAGAGAGTTAAGGAGTTTCGCGATTTACAATGCTGTCGCGAAGCAGTCAAGTTTCGGGTATTCCGGTTTATAAAAGAAAAAAGTTCTTATGACTCTTTCTTGTGTATCGAAATGCAGTGACTATATGTGAGATGTAGGTACTGTATGTCGATCGTCGGATGATACGTCGTGGTAGCTCAAGGACCAATGTTAAGCTGGTATTGGAGACGTGTGGGTGGTATGGGGGGTAACTGCAAGGTCCACGATGCAGTACGAATTGGTAAGTGATGAGATAGTATGTAAGACGAGATAGTATGGTCTCTCAAGTGATGAATGATAAGGATATAGATATGGGGGAGGATAGGATCAAAAGAAATGTCGACGGGGGTGCGTGGTATAGTTATAAGAAAGTTGCTTCCCGTCACGATAAGAAATAGTATGATGATGCTACGGGGGGCATTGGATGGGAACAAGGTCAAGGCAGGGTGTGCTTCATTAATAAAGATATGGATCCATTCACATTCACACTCCCAGAAAAAGAATGGACACTGGTTAGGTTAGTCTAGTGTGTACGGGAGGGGTCAGCAAAATAGATTGGACTGAATTTAAGAACAAGATTGGGGACAAGAAAGAATGTACAGTGTACGTGGGAAATGAAGGAGAAGTCCCAAGTGTCAAGCAGCGAGTCAGCGCCAGGAACAGCCATGTCTGGAAGTACACCGGTACAAACTCTGGCTTCAGTTCCCTCCCCTCTTCTAGTTGTTCCCCCCTGCCCTAAACTTGACACCCCTGTATATTTTAAAGCCCTTGCTTGTCTGCAGTAAGTTTGGTTTAGTTCTTACTGTTTGTTCTCCTCACTTATCTACTGCAGTAACTGTGACTGTGTTCTGTCTATCTGATGTAATTATTCTGTACTCTTGATAGTCAAGTTACTGTTCCTTGATGTGCCTTGTTTAGACAGGTTAGCCCCAAAGCCACAGCGAAGGGGGGGACCACTGTACGGCCCCTTCTATTGGGACACCAGTAAACCTAGGCCTGAAGCCTGTCCTGAGCCTGAGCCTGGGCACAAGCTTTGATGGTGGATCCTCCGGGCGATGTGACGGGATGGGATGCGATGGTGGGTGTGAATGTGAATAACGCAGCCTTTTTTTAGACTGTCCATTCAACACAGTGCACTTCTATCACAATTCCATTCGATCAATTCTCACCGGGTTCAGAACTGGGTTGGGTTACTTTGCTGAGTTGTCGTCCGGCAACTTCTACAATTGAGACATTCACATCCAGATGCGACGAGTGGCGTCTAACCGATGTCTAACCCATGTTCCAAAATCTCAAGACAACATGGTAATATCTCATCATCATTTAAGACAAAATATGAAAATTTTATATCTCTCAATCACCCCGATTTGGGTTCGATTCAACCTGAAAAGAGGCCCTTGCAAGCTTCCTTGATAGCGCACGTAGTCAAAGTGGATGTGATGGAGACGTTCGAAACCCGGCTTTCACGATACTTCCCCGGCTGAGCCCGGTCTGGTCTACGGAGGTTGAGCGAGGGTAACAGTAACAGAAACAGTAACAGAAGTGAGAGATATCTTGAAGCATACACGATACAAGTTTAATTCGCTTGTTTCGCACAAATATTGGTTCTTGGCGGTGTAGTTGTCTCCCAAATAGAGGGCATCACCCGAAGAGTTGTTTATCTACAGTACTGCTTACAGCCACCAAAAATGTTCTAGTCGTGGCGTCGGCGGTTGTAAATGGGCACCCGTGCTGTGGCGATTGGTGTTGAGTTCTTAGCATTGGCATTCTTAATCTTTGCTCTAACTACTTTCTCACCCCCATGTCCCCATCTCCATCTCTGTGCGTCTTTCCCCTCGAACTGCAAAAATAAAAAAGAGCTTGGCTCTGGGGTCACCGCCTGACCCCACGTGCAGGATACATCTGCAGCCGGTGAAAACAAGAATTGCCTGATAAGTTAAGAAGAAAAAAAAGAACGTTGCAGTAGCTCCAAAATGTGAGGGTCAGTCGTGATTATGCCATCCGCACAAGAGATATCGAATTGGTACAGGGTCTGCACTGTGCCGCTGAGCTGGGGTGATAACAAGGCAAGGTAAATAGGGCAATCCAATCGATAAAATGCAAATGCAGATGCAGATGCACAATCAATTGCTCCAAGCTTCTGGTTTGGTCTGGTTACCGGGCTGCAACCCCTCCTTGTTCTGTTGCAAAAGCTCGTACTCTTCCAGATACAGCTACGGCTACAGACGGGAGTTGATAACGGACAATGTTTGTGGAGTGATAGGTACCTACCTACTGATTAACTGCACAGTATCTGCAGGTCCTTTTGATGATTGTGACAGCTACTCTATGGAGAAAGGGAATAGGGAAGCTGTAACAATGGACTGTACACGCGTAATGCAATTCCCCGTCCTTGGAAAAGTAGTGGACTTTGTTTTGCACACCCTGGTTCAATTTTATCTCACGATAACGATTCGAGGTGTTGGCCCCGGAACGAACAGTAAATTGAGTCTGTCGGGTACAAATCCCTGCTCTTGTTCCCGAAATAAAGCAAGCAAGGGAATGTTTAAGATGAGATGAAGAAGCACACAATTGCTGTGAAATATTATACCTTTCATCTTCATATTCATCTGTACTCTATTCATCCATCTCAAACGCAACACAGGGATAGAATATGTATCGGTTGATTTTCAGGGGTGTTTCCCTTTACTTTCTCGTCGTGATCGACTTGCTTGCATAGCCGATGCCGACACGGTTGGTGGGAAAAGACGACATGACGTTTCATATCACCTCATTCAACTTAACGGAATAATAAATAATGGAGTTGTGACTATCAAATGAATCATCACGCTCGTCAATACGAAATCATAACCCCGACAGCAAAAGGTTTTGGAGGCCTGTTTCTAATCGAAGCTCCCCAGCTTAAGCTTTCACTTTCTCTGATCTTCAATGCTGGCGTGGCTTGGTGCTGTTGATCCTCATGCACTTACGTAGAGCCGGAAACAAGACAAAAAGCTCCCCGCCGAAATATGTCTGATCTGATCTTCCTTGCATACATAGCATCAAACGTTGTCGAATTGACTCTCAATTGCTATTCGTTCTTGTATGTTTCGGCAAATCACAACATTTGTCTAGGGTAAGAGGAATAGCATGTCACTCAACGCTACTCAGCAAAAGCTTCTTTTGCTTTCAGAGGGGTCAAGTGACGCTGATTCAAAGCTTCTATTCGGATTTGTGCTACTGCGCCACGTAGAGAGTTTCGCTGATCGAGGTCGTATTCTTGATTTTGGAGAGGTTGCGTGTCAGCCTGGTTTTTGCAAGACAACTCATCTCCTCATTGTCATCATCATCAAACCAACCTTCTCGTATCAAAAGCTCCAACAGTCGTCCAACGGTTTGAAGAGAGCACAGTGTAAAGCTTCTCCCCTTCAGTTCATTTGATCAGTACCTCAAAATTGACACAGTCCTACTATACTACGGTACTCCCCGCTACTGAGGCCATAGTTGAAGACGGCGCGACAATTCAACTATTGGCATTCTGAATAGCGCTGTTCCTGAGCGCGCATTCCAGCCCACACTACCAAATCGTTGCCGAAACGCATGTAGATATCATCATTCAAAGCGGCCACTGACCCTGTGGCTCTCTCTGCCTGCCCGTCCCAAGGGTGCCACGTTCTTGGCTGGATGAATTCGACAAAACTAGCCACACCCTCATCTGACCAACACAAGGGACAACGCCCAGCAATCGTAATAAGCACCTGTTTGCCATCAAGCGGGGAAGAGGCCAATCATCAGCCCAGATCGTCAGCTTGTCAACTTCTAGATCGTGCCTCTTCCAGCCAACCACCCCTTCGCTCTTCCCCGCAACGCAAACCCAATTGCCTCCAGGGGTCGTTGGAGGCTGAGCGATGCCGTCGCCTCTATTGACTCCTGAGCCTGGAAGGTCCCTGTGGCATTCAGTGGTGTTTGTTGTCCCTGAGATGGCGATAGAGTTGATGTCAGAAGTTGCCGGGTATCCATGCTATGCAATTGGCTTGATTAGGTTCCTGAACGAAGTTCATGATACTGCAATGCAAGCATCAGATCACCGAACGATGCGCTTATGCAAGAGCAAGAGTCTGGGTATGATCCCGATTGACAGCTGAGTGGCGTGACTCGCCCCGAAAACATGTTTAAGACGCTTAAGTGACATCGTGACGGCGCAATTGCCTGTCCGTTGCATCCGAGTGCTACAGACTCTGATACGTCCATCAGTAAGCCTCTAAGAGTCGAACCCAGCTAACCAACAGCCACAAAGTGCGGGGCCACAACCGCCTACCCTGAGCTGATTATCAGTTGAGTGGCATGACGATTCATAACCAACGTTCCGGTTTCCGCGATATATCGGTTCCAGTGAGCAATAATCGACCAAGAGTCTTCTTGCGCTTTCTTTCGGATCTCCCGATGCTTCATCATGCCGCATTCTGTGTAGGCGATTGATGGTGCGACATTGATGGGGTTTTCTCCTGGCCCAACTTTCTCAACTGGAATGCAGAGGAGTTATCCCTTGAGCCAACTTCCACCATGGCCCTATATTCCGCTCAACACTGGTATAAAAAGAGTATGGCGCCTTGCTAGATGGTCCAGGAGTCTGGTTAGGCTTTGGAGACTTTGCAAATGTGGATAGCGACATTGTCATTGTAGAATGGCCCCTGTTGGTCTTGTTTCTTGGGAATTGGAAACTCCAAAACCCCTACGGCGAGACCGTTGGCTTGGCATTGGTCGAGAAATGCCTGAAAGGTCTTTTCGTTGCGTTGAGTCGCCGAGATGTAGACCTCCACGTGTGGATGAAGTTCAAATACTTCGATCAGAGTTCCAATCAGAGCTGCTATCACGCTCTTGTCGTAGGTAATGTCGGCGCCAAGGACGACATCAATAGGCCGTCCGCCATTCCATTTGTCTTCTTCGGTGCCCATAAGGGCGTGGCCCCATTTGACGTCCATCGGCGTTACCTGAGTGGAATCCTGAAGGTCATTGAGGAAGAGGTTATCGGGTAGGTTGTTGATCACATCGTCGGACCCATCTGATGCAATGACATGCTGAGAAGCGAGATAGTTCGCGCATACAATGGAAAGATATCCTGTGCCGGCTCCTAGCTCCAGGACTCGTTTGCCTCTGACAATGTGCCTATTCTGGCAGAGATACGACCCAAGATGGAGGGCAGCTTCCCATGTGCGCAGACCTGTTGTCCCCGAGCCTGAGATGAGAGAGTGGTTCTCAAGGAGGGTGATACGAGGCTCCCAACCCTTTGGGTCAGGGGAATCATCGTCACAAAGTTCAGAGAGATGGTAAGTGACGTAAGACTTCTGTTGGGCAGATGTTGCTTCTGAAGGCAATGGGTTTGCCAGAAACATAGAGAGGGCACACATCAAGTCGTCAGATACTCCCTTCGCAATGTTAGTAAACATCATGATGTTGACATAAAGTCAAATGAGGGGCATCACTTACATACTCGTCCCAGTCATCAATGCTAGCTTCAATCCGTGCCATGAGTTCTTTCAGCACTCGAAGCTGGAAACGTGGAGGGGGACCATATCGAACAGCACCATCTGCGAATAATCTCGCATAAAACTCATCTTGAACTCGAGAAGTCTTCAAGAGCGCCGGCTCGGGATAGTCTAAATCGGGTTGTAGTTGTAAGTACTGATGGCAGAACCGGTCAACTTGTTGGGCATTTGACGACATATTGCAGATCTTGGCGAAGGGAACAGTTCATATAAATATCTCTTTTTCTCGAAGATTTCGAATATGCTACGTAGTAGTGGTTGTGATCGGACCATCTGGAGCCATCGCAAGCAACAGACAGCACCATTGGGCACATAACAGTGGTCTGACGAGTATCTCCACCAAAGACTGGAGTTTAAACTTGGCAGACTTGGAAGAATGTCCAACTTGAGTGCTGTCGTATGTCCGGCTAATTTCCAGATCTATCATCCGAAGATTCCCCGCAGAACAGTCTACACGTGACTTTCAACGGAAAAACCCTGTGCGTTCTTGCGGCCTTAGAAACGGGGCCAATCGCGCACAGTTAGGGTTGGACCAAATTAAGCGACAAAGCGGAATTTTCGACCCTTCCCAGTGTGACAACTTCATCAACGAAACGATCTCACCCAACGCCCAGTCTCTCCACCGTCAACACACCCAGAGACCATCACGACAATCGGCAAAAATGGCGGACAACGACTCCCCCGTCACCCTCCGAACTCGCAAGTTCATCCGCAACCCTCTGCTGGGCCGTAAGCAGATGGTCGTGTGAGTGACAACCCTGTGAAATTGATTCTTGATGACAATTATCCTCGTTGGTTTGTCTCTTTTCATCGCGCCCATTATCGTCGATGCTTTGATATTCTTTTGAACCCGTCTCTTCTCCCGCTCGAACTCTCCCAACGCTGTTCTGCAAAACGATTATACGCTACGCACGATTTGAATGTCGAAGAAACACCGTTCAGCAAAATGGGACATGCGGGCAAAGAAAAGAAAAGCATCGATGAGTGGCCGTGATGGAAAAGCGATTACTACGGGCATATTGCTGTCAAATTTTGCTTGTTGGGAACTGATGGGCTGACCGGCGATGCGTTTTTACAGTGACATCCTCCACCCCAACCGTGCCAACATCTCCAAGGAGGAGCTCCGTGAGAAGCTCGGTTCTCTCTACAAGGCCCAGAAGGACCAGATCTCCGTCTTCGGTCTCCGAACTCAGTTCGGTGGTGGCAAGACCACCGGCTTCGCTCTCGTCTATGACTCCCCCGAGGCCATGAAGAAGTTCGAGCCTCAGTACCGATTGGTGCGCGTTGGCCTCGCCACCAAGGCCGAGCGTGCTTCCCGACAGCAGCGTGCGTACATTCATAATGAAAGTCTACAAGGTTTAGTCTGGCTGACACTCGATAATAGGCAAGCAGCGCAAGAACCGACAAAAGACCCTCCGCGGTACGGCGAAGGTCAAGGGTGCCAAGGCGAAGAAGGACAAATAAACGAAGATGGCTTTGGCTTGTGTATATCCTCGGGCTGGTTGGGGAGCAGCTGCGGCTATGTCTGTGGCTGCGTGCATTCGGTGGTCATGCGGGTGCGTCCATTTACGGTCCATCCTCGTCGGCGTCGGCATCGGCATAGGGTACAGGGACTTGCTGGCGGACGCGGGGGCTATCTGGACTCGACGAGGAGGATTGAAGGCTACGCTTTCACCTTCCTTCCTCAATACACTAGCATGAAATCAATGGTGTTTTTCGGGTTTCGGACCAAAAACAAAAATAGCAACGTCTCTGGTTTTCACGCGGTTCTGGTCTTCTACGTTTTTTGGTGATAATAATGCATGACTCATGACTTTTTCACAGTTTGAAGGTATACACGATAAGGGGAAAAGAATGCTTCTAATCAATTCAGATCGCCGCCCAGCAGCAATCACAAGGGTATCAAGATAAAAACTCTATCACAAAACTCCAGACTCCACTCAATGCATCTCCATCTCCATCTTCAAAATCACCACCATGCTCGAGACAGCAACATGGCCAATCCCAGAGCGATTCCAACAACAACCTTCCACCCCACAATCTCTTCTCGTCGACCCTGAGCAGCGGCCTTGTACACAGGGATATGCCAGCCGCAACGTTCCTTGCCGTCTCTCGTCTTGCATTCGTAGTAAGTTGTCTGCGCCCAGCCCATGCTCGCCAACTTCTCGGCTTGATCGGGCGCTGCGGTGACGGGAGGGTTGAAGACAGATGGGTTGGAGTTGTCTCTGTATTGTCTGTCTTCTAGAGGCATGTCCGTTGTATCGGGAAGAGCGTGCGATAGTGTAGATGCGGGCTGAGCTTCGGCGGTTTGTGTAGGTAGACAGAAGCTTGTACTTGTCCAGCCCAGGATGGCCAGGAGAGTGAAAACGAAGTAGCGAAAAGGCAACATGATTGCGATATAGGGTTGGTGTTGTTTGTGTAGTCTTGTGTATCTTGTGTATCCGTCTAAGATGGAGATATCTGCTGGTAGAACTCTGTAGGTTGATCTCGTCGTTATATATTCGTTCCGAACCAAGTATTTTACAGTATCCCTTGAACAAAGACGAGCACGGCAGTAAAAGTCACAACTCACAAACCCCCGAACAAAGGGAAACATCCTGAACAATATATTCTCTCAACCCCTATGAACCAAGAAATAACCACGCGACAATAGCCAACAGCTGCAGCATTTTATCCCGCTCATGAGACACTAGATCAGGGACAAGATACAATTTCGGTGGTGGTGATGGTGGGTTGTTTCGCTGCATCATCTGCTCGCTGGGGAGGTTTGGTTGGCTGACATGGACTGGCTCGTGATGCAGCTTTTCCCTCTAACCCTGCGCTGAGACAGGCCCACGACTAAACATCGGTTCGTGATGCTCCTCACATGAGACGTTTGAACATTTGGACAAGAAATTGTTTGAGATTGATGAATCTTGGTTTTTTGAACTTGTTTTATTTCTTTGTGCTAGTGCCTTTTGCACCATGTTCATCTTTTGTCCTCAGCCAAACGCTAGGCTGTGATGCATGTTCCCCTAACGCCATGTTCCTAGTATTACACTTGAATATATGCTTTGACGCGCATTTACCTAATCGCGTATCCCTTTTCGCTACCTTGCTGATGATGCAATGATGGATGATGCAAAACCCCCTTTCATTCCTTCCAGAGCTTCCATAAACTACCTTGCCGTATCTGTCAGAACTTGCGAGTTGCCTTCCTTCGCCCCCTGATATGGCTGAAAGCACTAGCTGGTGGGAGAGATGTTCGTCCACGGGCTGTAGGAGCTTGTGTCGTGGTGGTCGTTTTGTTCTTGACTTCTTTCGCTGCCGCTGCCGGAAGACTCTTGCCTCGGCTACGTGTCTTCACTTCGCTGTGATTCTTCTGCACCCAACCTTCGCCTTGAGGCAGAGGACTATCATCATATGTTTCGTCCTCATTATCTTCAGCATAATGTTCGACATACGGTGGGCTGGAGCTGGAGCTCAATTCGATAACCTGGCTGCCATCTGGTACCATAAATTGTGATTCTTCTTTGATCTTTTGTGACGATGGTGCTGCGATACGTTCAGTTTCGACCACCTCGCTCTTGATTGACTGCTGTAGAGGACTCTTCTCTTGTGTCGCGCGTTTAAACAAACTGCGTATAGATTTGTTGCGATCATGAGAACGATCAGACTCGTCCTCTCCCTCGTCCAATTTTCGCATCGCCTCTTCGTACTCATCATCTCGTTTTTCTGTTTTCAAAAATCGCGGCACAGACGGTTGTGAGAATTTTGCTGGGCTCTGTGTCTGTCTCGCTGTTGCGAACATTTCTTCTAAAGAAGGAAAAGGGCTGCTACTCCTGACCGAGATGGCGGAAATCTGAGGGCTTGGTGTTCTTTTGTGAGGTCCATTGTCCACAACTGAATCTTCAATGCGCTCCTCAGGGAGATCTTCAAGACCACTGACCGATGGTGGCTGTCGTCCGCTGCGAACGCTGCCCGCAGACGAAGGTACCACAAGTAGTTGGTGATCCACAGACACATTGTCTTTCTTAGGAAGTGATGGAAGGTCTAGTGATGGTATACTATCGGGAACGATAGCATCCCAGCCAGCCTCAACAGTCGGCATTGGCTCGTCAAGGTCGTTTGTGTCTTTCGCTCCATCCGCCTCATTGCCTATCAGTTCCTCCACATTATTCTCTATAAAATCCTCCAAAGCCTTCGTCAAAGAAACTTCTTCTATTGTTTCTCGTAGTTGACGTGAAGGACTGTTAGTCATATCACTCAACCCCTCCATAGGTCGAACAAAACTGCTGATCGGGCTGTTATCTCCAGAGCCCATAAACTCTAGCCGCGGTGGCTGTTGGCCAGAAGGAATCGAGATCGATTTGTCGGTCCCTGAGGGTTTGTCTGCGCTTGCAGCTTCTCGATCCTTCAAATCGGCCTCCACCTCTGCTCTCACTTTCTGTGTATCTAACTCCTCAGCCATAGTCTCATCGGGGTGTGTTGGCGCGCTAACCTTATTGTTCGCCATGGAATCGTCCTGTGCGGGCTTGGCATGTTCCTTCAGAAGTTCTTTGCCCTTGGCAAGTGTTTCCGAAGAGTCGTCAGACGGCGCCGGTTGAACCAATCTCGGTTCAGACATCTCTTCCCAGGCAATTTCTCTTCGTCCATTGTCCTCCTCGCCGTCATCATCTTCGTCCAGGTCCGGCACTTCAAACTTGGCGTAGACTCGTTGGCCTGTATGCTCATCGTACTCTTTGTCGTCTTCGTCCCTGTCTCGCTTAGCCAAAAGAACATGAAGGCAGTTATCTTTGTCGATAGACAAGATGAGTCCAGTCATGGATACCATCTCAGGTTGCCATTTCGTTGCTTTTGACATGAGCAGCTGCTTCCAGGTGATGACCATACCAGACTTGACATCGGACAATTCAAGGCTGGGAAGAGTGCTAAGATCCGAAGGTAGTGTAGGGAGGTCGTCCATCTCTGTGAACTGCGTATCCTGCAGACGAGGCTTCGGGATGTCATCGTAATTCAACACGATATCCTCGTCGTCGTTACCATTTGCCCTTGTTTCAGCGTACGAATCTTCAGTGATCTCCATCTCGTCATATCCTCCATCATATCCTCCCTTTCCTTTTCGCTTTTTAGACTTTTTCTTCTTCTTGTGTTGGGTGTCTTCTTCCTGCCACTCTTCATCGCCGTTCCATTGGGAGTCTTCCCCATAGTAACTGTCGTCGAAGTTCTGAGAGGCCCTCTTTCGCTTCCTCATGGAGGAATACTGTTGTTGAGGATCCCATCTTTGGACAAATGGAAATGGTGGTTCACTCAAAACAACGCCCTCCTGGCAGCATTCGACCGCTCGATATGAAATGACCTTTCGCCAAGCTTCAGGGTCTTCTTCCTCTTGCTCCGCCGTTGGCTCAACCCCGTTCGCCTTTGCTTCCTCCGTTTGAACTCGAGGGTTTTGCAGTGGCTTCACATCCTTCATCAAGCTCTTGCGGAGCTTATCCTCTTCAGCTTTAGACTTGGGGTTCTTTAGACCAAGAGCGCCAAACAGCATTCGGCGCCCAGCTCCCATATCGACTTTGTGGCGACGTTGGGGAGAATCTTCAGCCGGGGCCGCATCTTGGGTTGTCGCAGGTGCTGGAGTTTCCTTCGTTTCGACTTCGACAATCAGGGGTTTGGGGTCTGTGGCTGTCGTTTCTTCCGGGGGGCTTGGGACATCTTCGCTCTCGTCACTAACGACACTCAAAAGGGCGCGCTTTCGAGCCAGAAATTCAGCATCCTCGCTTGCCGCTCCATTGGTAGACGGTTGAGATTGGGTATCTTCCAAGGCTTGCATGGCTCTCAGTCGCTTGAGGTCACGTCTTCTAGCGTTCCGCTTCTTGGTCTTGGCCAGCCCGGCACCAGGCGGTTTTGTGTCTTGAGTCTTGACATCGGGAGAAGCAGCTGCACGCGATTGCTTTACCTCGGCTGTTTTTTTGGAGGAGAGTTCCTCGGGCTCTGACTCCGAATCAGAATCACTTGAACTGGAGTCAGAATCGCTGGAGCTGTCACTGGAGCTGCTATCAGAGTCCTGTGCCCCAGAGACATCCGTAGCTTTGGCAACCTTAACCAATTTTGGGGCGACATCTGAGTCTGAGTCGGAGTCGGAGTCGGAGTCGGAGTCGGAGTCGGAATCGGAACTGTCACTAGAATTTGCATCCTTAGGCTGAACATCCAAACCATCGTCTGAATCGTCGTCTGAATCGGAATCGTCTGAATCGGAATCGCTATCAGAGTCGGAATCTTCCTTAGGGCTGTTATGCGACTCTTCGTCGGACTCAGAGTCAGAGTCCGAATCAGAATCCGAGCTACTAGAAGAGCTCGAGGTGTCATTGTCCTCATCCACCACACTGATCAAAGATTTCGCTTTCGCTTGAGTCGGTGCCTGCGAAGGGCTCTCGTCATTCACTTCTTGTATCAACGGTCGTTTCGAGTCCGCTTCAGGTTGTCCGGGAAGTCGCAGTGTCGGTTCTTCGACCTCTTCGTCAGCTTCCTCGTTCTCTTTCTCGGCCTCATCACCATCTTCTTCAGGACCTTGTTTCGAAGATTGTGTAGGGTTGAGTACGGCACCGAGAAAAGCGATTTCTAGTACTTCGTCGTAGCTGACCGTTGGGCTGTTGGTTTTGGCAAGGATCCGATATGTTTCCTTCAGATCGTGGTCGTGCAAGGCATCTTGCATAGTCGACATGCTGGTAAAGGGGAAGGCGGCTCGTAATGCTGTGATCTTGTCGAGCATCGAAAGGTCGAACAGAGGCGCAGGCGCTTCCGTTTGCGCATTATCCGCAGGTGAAGAAGTTAACTCCTCCTGCTCAGATCCTTGCTCAATCAAAGCATTATCCTCTTGTAGAAGCTTCAGCTCATCAGCAAGATCGACATCTGGCTCATCCTCGTCGCTAGTGTCAGAATCTTCGTCTTCCTCGACCACGGGCTCTGCAAGCTGGTCGTTTGCAATTTGGAAATCGGTGTCGTCGTCCATCTCCTCATCTTCCTCTCCAAGCTGATCGGTATCGACGAATCTTGCTCGTAGGCGTACACTGTCTGGTTCCTCCCTATCTTCAGTTGGCGAAGAGCCTTCAAGCAAGAGCTGCTCTGACGCAGCTTCCTCATCCGTATAAGAATCGTCATCTTCCTCTTCTTCATGTGTAATACGTGCTCGTTTTCGCGGTGGTAAATCGAGCGCAGGGCGATCGCGCGGTGGCCTCAACCAGGGCCTACCAAAAGCCAGGCCATCGATAAGATGCTTCCCGTCGTAAGATATTTGATGTCGTCCGCTAAGTCTTCGTCTCTTAAGGTCCTCGGTGGAAAGCGATCTAATTCTGTGTACAACTGTTAGCCAAAGATCTTCATATGTAAAGGAACTGCAAGTCGTACAAAACTTGGTCATCCTCCTTCAAAACTTTGCCGACAGGCTGAAAATGTAGCAGCTCGAAACTATCGCCCTTGCCATCCGCTAGCTCGACGACGTAGTCCTCTAGACCCCAGTCTGCACTCTCGAGCGGTACGACCTCATTGACGAGTGCGAGGAGCTTCGATACGGTAAGGTCGTCGTTTGCGATGCAGGGCCAGACGAGTTTGACTTCTGGGACGGCGTGTCTGCGGATGATGAGACGCAGGCGAATCGTCTGAGAAGACATAGTGTTGGTATTTGTAAATTATTATGATCGCATCGCTATAATGTACGGAGTAGAGAAAAAGAATGAATCTGGGAAATCGGTAGGTTGTTGAGTTTGCGCGAAACGAAATTTAGGTTGCGATTTGGAGCTTGACGCGCTTCTAATGTTTTGGGCTACTAAAATAAAGCAGCCTAAGGGGCAGCCTGAGCTAGCATAAAGTGACTAAATTATTTCGTTCTCGGTGGTCTCATCGGCCAATTCTTCTGACACCCTGACGAGCGGCAGCAACCGCCCCACTAGCAACGACCGTTAGTTTGCGATTGACAGCCAAAGCTGCAACCAAACAAAAGCAAACGACTTCAGCTTAAAGATGTCTCTATCAGAGTGATATTGCAGCTGTAGGATTGGGAAACATAGTGCCGCAATCAAGACCATAAAATTATCTCTACAATAGACAGTAAATATGTCATCAGTGGATAACAGAACGACTGCTCATGTAACGTTTATCATAACCAGAACCTCAAGTTTCAGATCCATCCCACATTCAATTTGAACCCAAGCAGTAGAGCTTCATTAAGCCTATTCACTGTTGGAGCCAAGATTCTATGCGTATGCAACACCTGAACGACAAAACGAGGTCTCAAGATGCCTTTCATGACACCAGCCATGATGACAACAACTCGCAAACTCGCCAGACACAGACACATGAGACAGAGAAACCGAGATATATAATAGTTCCGAGACCTGTTGAAATGTGGTTTTTGTCTACCATACAGCATACATCAAGGCTCCACCGTACAACGCCATCAAGATCAATCCCCAAAGAATGAATAAACTCCATTGAGTGCACTGACGACAAAATAGAAGCCTTATTGAAGTTGTCTCTCGCTTTCTTTCTTGCATTTCTGGTATTTATATTTCGTTCGCGCGTCGAATCTAGTGTGGCACTGATGCCATGTCCAACATGTGACCCATCTTCTCAATCTATAATCATCAGTTAGCATTGCTCTCAGGAGAAATGAATCAGTGATGCTCACCTTTGTCTTGAGATATCCCTCCACCTCCTCACTTCTGAAGCCTCCACGGCCCTTCCATGACAAAGGCACCATGGCCACTCGCTCCTTGACCACAACCTCTCTATTAGGACCCTCAACCGCTCGGATCTTATCAGGGTTATTGGTCAACAGTCGAACCTCTGGCTGTCCAAGATCCAACAACATAGCCGTAGCAAGACCATAGCTTCGAGCATCAGCAGGATGTCTCAATAGCAAGTTTGCCTCCACAGTGTCAGATCCCAAATCTTGGAGGTTGTACGCCTTGAGCTTCTCGCCGAGACCGATACCACGTCCCTCCTGTCGTAGGTAGATAATGATACCGCCAGCCTTGTTGCCAGGCAGACTCATCAGCCGCGCCGCCTCGTCGAGCTGTTCACCGCAGTCGCATCGCGCTGACCACGCTGTCTCACCTGTGTAGCACTCGGAATGAATCCTCACCAAAGGAGGCTGATCCGACGCCTGCGGTGGCTGCTCTTCTTGAGGGGTCGCTGGGCCGATGCCGCTGGTTGTGCGACCGGGGAACAACCTGCCTGTGTATGCGCCGCGCACCATGCGGTCCATCTCCGTCTCACCCTCCCGAACAGCATCTAGACTCTTACTTCGGATATTCTTGCCAAACACGATAGCAAGGTGCTCTTTGTTGTCCACATTATTGGTGTACAGATGCAAGAACATTTCTGTTCCTGCCACCGTGGGAATACGGGCGCGAACAATGCATTCTACCTCCGGGAGAGTCGGGAGCAGCTTTGGCTTCTTTGATCCGCATCCTCCGGAGGGGATGGAGCTGTCGACAGGGACACCGCGAAGGCCAGCCGTCGTCGGTGTAGCAGTGCCAGGTGTAGAAGGGGGCGTGAAGGAGGGAGAGAGCAGTGATGGCGGGGGTTCTTGGCCGATCGGGGTCTCGGGATCGGGGTGGGCGGAGACGGAAGCGGAGGCGGGAGTGGAGGGAGCGGGGGAGAGAGATAGTGAGTCTATGGACTGCTCGAGGGTGTCATTGTGGTTGTGCGCAGAAGTGGAAGCGTCGGCTGTTTCGGTCTTGGGTGAGTAGAAGGAAGGCAGAGCTGAGCTGGAGCCCGCCGGTGAGCCTGGAGTCGCATCGGACGGCATATTCTGGCTTGAGGCGGGCAAAGGACGGCGCCGCGATCGGGATTTGGAGGGGTTCGGTTTTCGGTTTAGTTCGTGTGTCGCAGCGGCGGTATGCGCATTCGGTGGGTGAGTGAGGCGATAGAAGCAATTAAAGGTATACAGAGAGGTCGCGTGTGGTCTGTTGTGTGAAGCAATTGAGTAGAGTAAGCGCAATTCTTGTGTATGTCGATAGTTTACGGAACCATGACTTGACTTGGCTTGATAGAATGGTGGGGTTTGCTTTAGATTCAAGGGTACAAAATGGGGTAAGTCTCATTAGTCATCAGCTTCTACAGTATTTCCATCGCGCGCGGGCTGGAAATATTTCAATGTGCAGCGGGGTTGGACCCTTGAGAAGTCATAATATCCGCCTCTGCGGTAATAGATGTCAGCCTTCTACGTAAGCAATTGGTGAGATATATCCACGGTCTGTACCGTGATTGTTTCAATCGCAATTACATATCAATATTCAATTGTATTAGTGTCGGCCGTCGTTGCCAGCGGGTTATGCCAGACTATGGACGGTACTGTACTGGGGATAAAGAATCTAGAGAACCTCGGCGAAAGCGGCCGAGGCCGGCTAGTGGGGGCGCCGTTACTTCGGTCAGCATTTCCAATCCCCCACTGAATCTGAGTCAGTAGCCGAATCCGCGGATATTTACCCGCTTGTGATAATTGTCCTGGCTGTCGGATATGGGATTCCAATGGAGGATAGTAACTATGAATTCGCAAAGTAGTTGGATACGTCATAGGATAGTTCCTGGTCTCTTTGGCTCTTGTTATGGTTATGCCTCCAAGTTCAAGGGTAGATGACATGTAGAAATGGGAATTGATTTACAGCAGTATCATCACATCAACAGGTAAATACACGATAACCTTAAAATATGGCTTTTAGTAATTTCCAATGAACATGAAAAAACGAAAGAGAGTTACATGCCACTTCTTATGACAATGAAAAGCCATTTACCTGCTGTCATCCGTTGTCGAAGACCTTGAAATGATATACTCTAGGGTAAGTTCTCTTGTCAAAATGCCAAGACCAACTACCGTTATCAAGATAACGGTTCACTGCCGTTTTCACATGATACCCTCACAACAGCAAAACTCACAAACCGTCCACGAACCCCTCACTCCAAGTTACACTCCCACCACACCACATTAAAGACAAATAACGGCCTGGCCTGGCATGTCATCAAAGAACAAACATGAAACACAAAACATCCTGGCCCAAATGCAGGTACACGAGCCTAACCGCCAACACTTAGCTGTCACTGCTGAACAAATAGAAATACTTCTTTGTTCTCGCTTTCTGTTCCCCTGTTTCATATCAAGCCAAGCGGCACACGTAGCTGTCACTTCCCAGATCTACTGTAAGCACGACAGCTCATAATGATACAACTGCATTTTAGACTTTCAGCTCCCGAGTGCTACCCTCCCCCCCTGAATTGAACTGCCGAATGGATGGCGGTGTGATTGACCTCTGCATATGCGGTCTGAGTTTATTGAATACCTCACTGTAGCAATTGCCTTGGTCAAATGTGCATATGTACAGCGAAACAATCCAAAGAAAACATGACGTTCTCTAATCCCTGCCGGTCCGACTTGTGCCTGTTCTTGCACGTGGCTTGTCTCCACTAGGTAGTCAATGTTGGCCTTACACGCCTTGGAGGAGCACCGCATGTTCGTGCGTCTGTACTGTGAGAAAACAAGGCTACCAGGGGTGACCAAGCAAGGTGACCAAGCATATGGAGCTGAATGGGCCTTGCAGGGCTGTCAAAAAGCCTCAGAGGGAGAACCTGAAGCAAGGGCTGAAGGGGGCTGGGGCCATGGCTTACACGGCCCTCGTCAAGGGGTCATTGAAGGCCTCCAAAGACTCAGCCTGCTCTGCAAAAAGCACGATTGAGTTAATCGAGATTCTGAAAAGGATCAGTTGGGGATGCAAATATGCCACAGTATGCTGTTGAGAAAATTACTTCATGGCACTCTGTCATAGATCTGTACCGCTTTGGCCCCTCTCAAGGGAGGCTTTAAGTGCTGTGACATAAGAGGCAGCTCAGAGTTTAATGGATTGCGAGCGAAAACCACGCAGGAAAAAGCAAGTAACCGGTAAGCTAAAAAGCAAAGTAAATGCAGTCAGCAAAGTGCTGTCTCAGATTCTAACCGCTGAGGCTGTGATATGAGATGAATACCAATGCACAAAGTGAGAAATGAAAAATTGTATGAGACTCAAAATTGAAGTAATTCGTAAAATGTATTTGACTTGAAGGGTATGTATATACATGTAAAGTGTAAAAATAAGCAAAAACAATCCTTTTTTCCTTTATATCCTGTGTATCATTCCAGAGGTGTTTTTCATATCATTCGTAAAGAGTGATACGCCCTTTTTCTGCGTCTAGGTTGCTAGGGCGGGCGATTTTTCTATGGTGATCATCATCATGGCATAAGACATCTAAAGTGAAACCTGCATTTACAGAGCAGCGGCCTTCTCGCCGGTGCCGTACATGATGTTCTCAACCTTCATCTTGAGCTCCTTGACGGATCCGAGACCGCTGGGGCACTCGGGCTGGTTGCTGACGGCAAGGTTGAGGTGGCACTTCTCGTTGACGCCGTGCTTGCAGACGGGGTCGTTGATGTTGTACAGCTGGTAGTTCTGGGCGACCCAGCTCTTGGGCTCGCTGAGGCAAGAGGCGACGTAGTTCATGGAGTTGGCGGCGGCGAGGGGGAGCTTGCCGTTGTCGAGGATGTCCTTGCACTTGGAGGCGTGGACGTACTCGTAGTTCATGGCGATGCCACCGCCCATCTGGGGGTCCTTGGCGGCAGACTTGCCGAAGCCGAGGTAGTTCCAGGCATCGTAAGAGATGTCGTGGGCACCGCCGGAAGAGTCGATCTTGAGGAGGTAGACGGAGCGGCCCTCGTTAGAGACCTTGACACAGATGTTGTTGCAGTCGACGGAGCCGGGCCAGTAGGCGACGCGGTTGGTGTCGATCTTGCAGCCCAGGACTCCGATGCTGGAGGAGTACATATCATGGGGGGTGATGCTGGCAGAGCCGGACTCGCCTCGGGGGAGAGGGTTGGCAGAGACCAGAGCAGCGGTAGCCGCGATGATGGTGGTGAACTTGGCGAACATTTTGAAGTATATATTTACTTTTTGTTTGGAGACTGGCTCGACTTGATATAATCTCAACGCACGGCGGAGAGAAGTACTTGACTTGAAGGAGTGGGCAAGTGAGTTTTGAGTGTAAGGACTGATCTCAGATCGACGGCCTGCCGAGTGAATGACGAAGAAAGAGTTGGAAAAAGGAAGGAATCTCGTAGTGAGTGTCTGTGGTGCAGAGTAAAGAGAGTCTGTATTGGAGGTGGATGATGGGACTTTATATACATGAGAGGGAGTGTCAGTGTCCTTGACTTCCTGGGGCCTTATCCAGGTACAAGGCAGATCTCGGGGAACTGAACCCATTGCATTGCAAGGGTGTGCGTGTCCATGTCTTCGGGGAGACAAAGCCTGCAGATGCCAATGTGCTAACTGCATATCGAGGCGAAACAGAGAATTCTACCGACAGTAACTAACTAGACGTCTCGCGCCGAGAAAGCGACCGCTTGGATTAGTGAGTTGGAGGGAGTAGAAAGTGGAACTCGGGGCTTGACAGCAAGCAAGAGTCAGAGTCATTGGAAGACAAACTGCAGTCATGATTCGCGAAAGCTTGGGGCATTGGGCTAGTTGGTATGGAGCAGGTACATGTACTGTAGTCTTTGTTGAAGTTGTCTCCAGACACCAGAACCACCCACAGACCCGCCCGGCTGGCTGCCGAGCGGATGTACGTACCGGGGTCATGCTAAGGTCTTGGGTGTGGTAGACCCAAGGGCAGCCAGTCCCGGGACTTGTTCCAATGGGTTCCGGAAAATGTCTCAACAGCTTGTTTGCCAGGCACGGTGCGTTAGTCAGGGACCCGGCACGGCGGCAGACGCATGCACTCAAAGAGGGTAAATCACTGCCATTTGATCCACGTCTTGAAGGGTGTCGTACCAAGAGTTCTGACTGGTTTTGTGCCTGACACCGTGCTTACATCCCTTGCCTTGTACCTGAACGAATCCCTGTAAACTCTTAATTCTTGTGCTTCTGGGTGTCCTTCCAAGGCAGTCCAGTCCTGGCTCTCAGTCGATTCGTAGTCGATTCCTTTGAGTCGCGCTGCATTGGTTCAAGTGTGAGTGGATTAACATACTGTCACTTAAACGCGCTCCGTTTTCCACGAGTACAGAAGTACTTGCAGTAGTCTAACAAGACGGACCTAAACTCCTAGACGGAGGAGAAAACGGAGCAGAAGAAAAACTCTTCTCTACTGACCGGCCCCACGACACGTGCATATTGCTTCGCGCCACCATCTAGACCAAGTGAAGTGAATGCCTCATATGGATGCCTGACAACTCAACTCAATTGCAAAGCGCTTTCATGCTGGACGGGCACTGTGATTGAGGAGGAATACGTACCTGTACCTAGGCGGACACCGTCAAAAATGGTTGTTGCTGGCGCTACACAACCAAGAAAGTTGTCCAAATGCCTCACAAGTTTGTATGCTGTGGAACGGTGGATCAAAAGAATCATATCCAACCAAACAGCTCCCACAAAATCTAGGACTTTTTGAAGCAATAATTAGTTCACATAATCACATCAGGCTCTTGTTCCCGATGCCTCTGAACACTGACCCAAAGTAAAGATCGTGATTACCAAGCTTAAAGGGTCGGGGTTAATCTCAGATTGATGTGCTTCGCTTGTAACGCCCAGGCGACGGCAGCGGGAAGCCGATAAGCTTGTTTCAATTTTCGGTTGCTTTGTGGAGGAAACATTCCAATGCTGGACTGTTTAATTAGACAGGCAATCAATTAAACAAAAACAACAAAAAAAAAACGAGGCATCTATTGGCGGGAGGCTGCTTGTCAGTTGAGATGGATGGCTTCACAACAGCACCACCAACATTGAATACTTTGACCACGTCACTGTAAGACAAGGTAATTTGATCCAGTGCCTTGTACTGTAAGTCAGAATGAAGACATACTCCCACTCATCATAGTGGATGAAAGGTTTTCGTCATCTGTTGTTAGTCCTGCAGGAACTCTGGATTACCCAATTGGTCAAGCCGGCTTCTTTGTCATTCTCTCCGAGCTTTCTGCGCTCTTTCTTTTTGCATCTGCTCATACTGTGCGCAAGTTTTCTGCACATTCGTAAAACTGTGCCTTGTCGCTGTGGATTTTGTGCGATGGGGGCCATGAAATCAAGGTTTTCAAAGAAGCACTTTTTAGCGGCTTTCCAGATGCTCGGTGTCTGCCTGCGGCTTTAACAGAGACTTGCAAAGGGAATCCACTCACACATGCACCTTCACAAATGCAGCAGTTGATTCCTTGTGTATATCAACCAGGGTAAAACAATAATTAAGAAGAAAATTCTTTTCTTAATTCATGATTGGGTTGAAGTATGAGTGAATCGGTCGTGGCTGAATCTCGAAGGGCGGACCACGAGACCCTTTCGAGACTTTGATCGCGGAAGAGGCACTCGTGGCTAAACCATCCACATGGCTTTGACACTGACATTGTGGTTGCCGATATCCTTTGAGTTCTGTTTGACTCAAAGCCTCTGATTCAATCTCTGAAACTCTGCGGCTTTGTTGTCCAGAATAGAACATTGCATCCGAGCGTTGACATAAACCGTTTCCTTTGGAACATTCGTTGTCGCTTTCTTCCGTCGGTGACATCTTCCCGTCCCAAGCACACACGTTTTTTCGCCTCTGCCATGGTTCTTGGTGCCCTTCGAGAAAGTCCTTTCTTCGGCCAAGATAGAGTTCAAACGTTCCCCCAGCCACCCCGAACCCATGAAGAACGTCCGGTTCTGTCCGGTTTGTACATAATCACATTCTTCCGTTATGTACGCGCCATCACAGGCGCCGTTCAATGCACCGTCTGATACGCCATCGTTATACTCTGGCTAGGCTCTGAACGGTTGCCTGCTCGTCTGCGCACTTTGTAGCATTTTTTTCTCCACTTGGTTCTCTTGACAGAGTCCGGTATAACTTCGAGTCAGAGTCTTCCTTTTTGTTCTGGATATTCTGATTCGACGGATGGGGCTTTCGCATGGTGGCTGTAAACATCCGGTGGTGGACTCTCAATTTCTCAACATAATACTCCTCACCTTCCGGCTTTGTAAATTCGACCGAAGATGTTAGTTCTGGATACCGATCGGTTCCATTGACATTCCTACTTCATGCAGGTGAGGTGATTCGTAGTGAAAATGGCTTCCCCGACAGTCTAGAATGTTGCTGGTCCGATAACGCAGAGGATGGTGACATTGAGATCCTGCTTTCAGCATCTCGCGCATGTCCGTCGGTATTGCTCTGCCCTGCTTCATTTCTCGAGACACAATCATCAAAACTGCTGTTTTTGAGCACGCGATAGTTACACTTGTAGCTATGCATGTCGGACATTTCTGAATACGAGTCTGGGGTAATATGGACACAATCCGGTGTTTGAAGGGCCGTTCCGATGCAAGAGGGGAACTCCTGTATATCATCTCCACTGATGTTCATCTGGGGAAATACGAGTTGTAATCCTCCGGCCTCGTGTTGACTGCACTTCGGACAATTTGATCGCTGTGGATCACAAGAGATCTTCACTTGCTATGGTGGGAGAGCGTAGTCATGCCTGCTATTCTCAACGATGAGTTCACAATAGTCATTCCGCGATCGGTGTTTTGGCGCTTCGCAGTGGTGTCAAGACGCAGCAGGTCCTTTTGTTTCCCTGTGTTTCCAGCGAAAAACATTACTCGCTTGAGGTGCATGTGTGTGTGCCTTCATGTTGAGCTAAGCAAACGACCGGTGAGTTGATCCCTCGACGGGCTATCGGAGCGTCCTGTTCACTATGATCTGGTTTCTCACGAGACTAACCTTACATCTCTTTTGCCGGACGAATTATGCTGCAAGTTATATTGCCATTGCAGCCGATCTTGGTGCAGACAGTGCATAGGTAGCGAAGACAAAAGCCCAACACTTGCAGAGGAAAATGCCTCCAAGAAATCTTGCTTGCGTCTGGGTAGAAACCTCAATATCCAATCACGGCAGTTGAGCAGCATAAAGTTCATGCGAAGTTGAATCAAGACAACGTCAGTGTACTGAGAGATGATGGAACCGGAGAGATTGCGAGGTCGAAAATTTCTCTGAGAGTGTTAGATGATCAATGACGAAGGAAAGAATATGAACTCGTCTGGATTCGTATCACGCTGGCATGAGCACCAGAGAGCGCTCGTGATCAAGGTCGTCGAAAATAAGCCAGTAAAAACCACCGAGATATTGCAGCTAGCTGACTGTGATTTTGTCTCCAAATTGCACCATTTAAATTTCACTTACCCTACGGCTCAGGTCAAATTTCCAAGGTGAGGCAGGTGAAGCCCCACTTCCCTCGGTGAAGCGCTGAGCTTCCGCGATAAGATAAGCCAAAATTTTAGAATTTTTCGAGATCTCGCAGCATTCTTCAATTCCATACGACCGCGATAGCTCGCAAAACAGCCCAACCGCAAAAATGGCGCCAATCGACCATGCCGCCGCCAAGGCCGAGAAGAAGGCGAAAAAGGAAAAGAAGCGAGCCCGCGAAGAGGAAGCCGGCGCCGATACCGAGCGAAAGCATAAGAAATCCAAGAGCGTCGTCGCTGCAGAGGTTCCCGCGACTGAGCCCGAGAAGAAAAAGAAGAAGAGCAAGAAGGATAAGCACGACGATGGTGCTGTCAAGCCATTAGAAAGCGAACCTGCTGCGGTCGAGGAAGCTAAGCCTGAGAAGAAGCATAAGAAGAAGAAGCACGATGCTGCGCCTGAGGAGACAGCTGCTCCTGTAGAGGGCGAGAAGAAAAAGAAGAAGAGCAAGAAGAGCAAGGATACCGAAGAGACAGATAATTCCGAAACTCAGAAGCAGACCGAAGAAGCTGCGCCTGTTGATGCTGATGCTATGGATATCGACATGCCACCTCCCGCCAAACCATCAAAGTCCAAAGACGACGTCTACCAACCTCCCGACATCCCCGCGAACCCTCAATTCCCCTTCTTCACCCAGACCGTGTCGCTTTACGAGCCTCTATTCCCCATTGGCTGGGCGCAGCCCGTCACCAACTGCCAGTACCAACATCTGCAACACCACCTGAACAAGTATGTGCCTTCGCTGCGCGGTGTTCTCCTCGAGTATAAGAACGTCGCTTTCGGCGAAAACCCTGGTCGCAATGGCGCTGCTACGACTGACGAGGAGCCCGCGACTGTCATGTCCAAGGCTGAGGCTGCTGTTGGTTGGGGATGGATCACTGCTGATGTAGATCTTTTCGTGCCAAGCCGTGGTGCCTGGATGGAGGGAAGTGTCAACTTGCAGACCGAGGGACACATTGGTGTTGTTTGCTTTGGAAAGTTCAACGCTTCGATCGAGGCTCGTCGATTGCCTCCTGACTGGAAGTGGGTTCCTAATGAGTCCTCCGAAGCTCAGGGCTTCGAAGAGACCGCCTCAGTCATCACCGCCGACGACCACGGTGTAGTCCGCCAAATCCACAGCACCGGTTTCTGGGCCGACGGCAACGGCGATAAGGTTAAGGGCAAGATTCGCTTCAGAATACGCAACTTCGACGTCGGCACTAGCGGAGACATCAGCTATCTGAGTTTGGAGGGCACCATGCTGGACAAGGCTGGTGAGAAGGCCGTCGTGGCCGAGGAGGCTGAGACCGCCAGGATGCGACAGGGCAAGAAGGGCGGCCAGCGCATTCGCAGAAGACAAATCCCCGAGTTCGCCATGACGCGCTTCGCCGTGGACGAGGAGCAGGAGCAGACGGAGGCGAGCGACAAGGAGAAGCTTGAGGCGTTGGCGCTTCCCGAGGATCAATAAAAGCAAAGCATGGGACTATAGGGAGCCAGGAGTTGTGTGATACCTCGATTTAATGATGAACACTGTTACCAAAAAAGAACAAAGCATTGCGCTAATGCTAAAAGATCGCTGCCTTGGATCATACTACTATATATACAAAACTTGACCAAACCTGAACGCCGATTCGTGATACATAAAAGGCTTATGCGGCAGCCTTGACCATAGGCTCCCAAGGTCGAGCCAGATTCCACAGGTATACTTCTCCCACGGGCTCTTCGCCCAATGCCTTGACGAGGATATGCTGAAAGAGAGGAGCGTTGGAAAAGAGCGGCGCAACAGGGGTGATCGATCCTCGATCCCATCCAGCAGAAAGACCCTGCGACCAAGCAGGCTGTCGAACGAAATCCTCGACTTTATCGTGATAAGCGTCCCAGTCGTCGGAATGATCATTAACGACGACCTGGAATCTCACGCCCTGAATATCAACTGTAATGCGTTGCACCATACTCGGAAATCCCGTCTGCGCACCCGAGCTGAGGATCCAGGTATAATCCGTCTGATCACCGTTACTCTCCCAATCATACCAGACTTGAGTTCCCGCTTGTGAATAGTCATTCAGTACAAGACGACCTTCAGCATCGAAGCTCAACTCGCAGTGTCGTGCGTCGATTCCTGGCATTGTGGGAAGTACGACATCGCACTTGGATGGGTCAGAGCCTAGAACGAAAGAGCCTGGACGTTTGGGTGGTGAGTCGAAGGAGAGCTTGATGGCGCGGGAGGGACGGCTGCCGAGGAGGTTTGGAAGGCGGGATGTGAGGGTTTCTGAGGATGTTGTTTGGACGGTACGGGAGATGTTGCAGGCGAGGTAGGTTGTCTTATCGGCGATCGAGTTGCGTGCCGTAGGGACCAGCCAGGCGATGATGTCGGACATTGTGAATGCTTAAAGATTGAATGTGGTGAAGGGAGTGTAGTTGCGGTGAGATGTGGTGTAAGTGAGAGGATGTAGTGAGTTGACACTAGATAGTGTTTTTGACGATGATATTGCAAAGTAAGAACGGCTCAAACGAGAGAAGCCAAATGATCAAGATTGTATAGATGATAAAGTAAAAAAAAATATAACTGGAAAAATCACGCTGAAAAAGACTGTCGAGTTTCCATTTGATGCGTTGTCACCGCAGTTTATATCCAAAGTCAACACTTCACCAAACAACGTTGCGCCGACAACCACTGGCCCTCAATGCACCGCGTCCAACGCGACGCGACGACCTACGAAAAGCTCAGAACGATATATTTTGGAAAACAGTTGTTTCGTGGTGGTGTTTGAGTATGGGAGCACGAGAGCCAATCATTTTTGGTAAAGGGCCGGGGTCGTGTTGCGTGAAGATGTATGAGCCACTAGTCCAAGAAAGTAGTATTATAGTGAAATGGGGAGTGTTAAAGAGATAGGCAGCTGTTGTGCTGGTTTGTGGGTTGGGTTTGATGTGGTCTTTTGCGAGTGGTTGTTGTCGTGGAGTTGGGCCCTGCATGCATTTGACTGACTCATATACTGTTTTGTTTCGCAGTTTATCTGATCTTAAACCTCATCGAATGAAGACAAGTTGCCACTAGAAGACCTGAGGATTAATGCAACTTGGGCATGTATCTTGAGGATATGTAGCATGTTCTGGACAGATCAGGCAGTCACTCTCCCAGACACTTTGCCTTATCTGACTTCTGTGACACGAATATGGATTATAAGAGAGTTTTGAAACTCAAGATGGGCGGCTATATCTTTCTTTAGGTAGAGAGGAATTAGAGACGGAGCAAAGCGCTTGTTCGGTATCAAGATCTCCAGTCTTCTGATTACTCCTCCTCTCTTGGAGGTGAGGTTAACTGACCACTGAACACCAGCTTTGCACTTCAATGCACACAGATCAGATATACCATGTAGTTGAGCGAGCTTGAGATTCCAGCCATTGCTTGGATTAGCTCTGTGTCCATATAACAAAAGGGTAGTTTGGTGTCACAATCGTCGTGCAATTCATTATATGTGTATACATACAGGGTAGTCAGCTTTCCACCAGCCTTATACCCACGTATGACATGAGGATCAGCCATCTCATCTCATCTCATCCGACCAGACCGAACGCTCATTCATCAACTACCGACTAACACAAATTACATTGCACTCAAACACATAACGCCATATCACACCGTGAGGGTAACACAATCACACAAAAACACCACAGAATGGGCTCCTCAGACATCCCACCCCCCTCAGCACCAACATGGCTCGTCCCAGCCTCAACAGCCTGCCTCTCAGTCGGCATAACCTTCTGGCTTTGGGCCTACATCCTCATGGTCCGCCGCAGTCTCGCAACCCACGCTACACCCGCGCCTCTCCTCGCCCTAGGTCTCAACCTCGCATGGGAAGTCGTCTACGCATTCGGCGTATGCGAAGCACCCATCGAAACATTCGGCTTCACCTGCTGGCTCCTCCTCGACATACCCGTGCTATACTCCACTCTCAAGACAGCGCCTAGATCGTTTGCCTCTGCGCCGCTTATCGCACGTAACGTACCGCTGCTGCTGATTGTAACTTTCATCGCGGGGCTGGTGGGTAATGGCACGTTTGTTTGGTGGTGGCTCAAGGAGCCGCATCGTGGGTATGGGATCAAATGGGGTAAGACATGGAAGGGTCTTGAGGCAAGGGATACTACTGAGTTGGCGTTCTGGTCGGCTGGTGTGGCGCAGATGATATTCAGTGTATCTGCCTTGGCTATGCTTCTGCAGCGCGGTCACTCTGGCGGTCAGAGCTATGCAATCTGGTGAGTATTTCTTTTCTTCTATATGCATCAGGGGCGTGTTTTCTACTCTATCATATTCCCAAGTGTTTGAAAAATTGCTGCAGATTGCGTATCAGGTGGGAGCGGTCTATTGAAGCACGACCACGATAAGCAGTTCCGACAGTATGTGTTGCCAGTAGGATTTGCATCCGCCTTTTGTCTCGTGACGTGAAAAAGCAATTGGGCAGCAAGCAAGCAAGCTGACAATCATGCCTACAGGTTCTGTCGTTTTGTAGGCACCGTCATGGGCCTCCCTGTTTGCTGCATCCTGCTGTGGTGGTACTGGCCAGAAGCTCACGGTTTCGTATTCCACCCTCTTGCCCTGTTCTTCGTTGGTACATCAGTACTGTGCGATCTTGCATATCCGTTCCTGTTGGCCTACGTCCGAACTACGGAAAGGGTTCTACCCGATGGAAGTTTGGTGGATGGGAGAAGACTAACGGAAACGGAGAAGAAGCATCAGTAGGGCGGCAACGGACGCTTCGCGGCTAAGCGAGGGAGGAAACATGAGCTAAAAAAGCAAATATAGTCTTATATGCAGTCACTTTAAGTGAGGGTCACATCTTGGCAATGTTTGTGTCATAGATTGTCTATCACAACTGAACTGAGACTGCTTGCTCCTCGAATATCCACGGACAAAACACTCCGTCCCAGCTTTATTCTCGCGCGTGCTTTAAATCTAAAGAGCGACATCGCGAAGAGCGTCTACAAACGGTTGATCAACCTGTGGCGCCCGCACAATGTAATTTCAGATCTGACTACCTCGGGATATTTGCTCTGCTATGACCAGTTCAGGAAGGGGGACCCAACAAGAGGGTGACGGGACGATCTCATAACCGCTTTAGTTAACTTGATATCGCGGCAATCTGTTGTCTATCGGTCAAGACATAGCGACTGGGTACAACGTGATGAGCGCATAATGCAGCCTTCCCGTAGCGTTACGGAGATGAGGCCAATCGAGCGTGGCTTTTTATGAGATATGATAGCATCAACAGCTATCGTGAATACACGAGGGGTAAAGGAACAAACAAACACCCATCACATGACTATGAAACGATGTAGGCAAAAGCCAGGTTTCTCCCTGTTTTCTCCAGATTGGACATGTAACGTTGACTCTTTCCCCCTTGATAAATGAGGAGAGCTGGTTAACTAGGATTTCGAGATATGGTCCAACCAACACACCAATAGCAAGCGAGAAAAAAGAGCAAACTGGGTGGACACTTGTCTCGCGATAACCCGATTCCTAGTAAAGAAAGCTCATCGAGTGCGCGATGCGACCAATCGTGACTCAATCCAGTGTATTGGTAACGAAAGAGAAGTTGGCAACTCGCAGCATGAGTATGGCACGGAATCGTGATCAGCGTGATATAACTGCATTGTCGCATCCAGCATCGGCCGCTCATTATTCGTCATGTTTGCTTTTTCGTGCTTGTTGTTGGTCCCGAGAGTCCGAAAGATTGAAGCGATATTTTTCGGGATATCACAATACATAGAAGTTGACGAATGTTCCAAACTGTTACCCTGATAAGTGCTGCTGTTGGTCCATAGTGTTTCAGTGCAGGGACGCTCTGTAAAACAATTGCACCAATAGACGCAACTCCTTTATAGAGGGACACCATATGTCAATGGATGCCAAAGTCACATGGTCAAAGGCTTGTGCGGGTGCAAGCATCTCGAACAATGGGCTGGTTTCGATACGGTAGTAGGGGGCTTTCAGGGGGTGGTCTCCGGGGAGTAAAAAAGTGTCAGTGTCAAGAGCTTGCATCTTGTCCCGCACAAGGACATGATCACGTTTCGCATGACTGAAGAAAAGAAGAATTGATCTTCATTTTTTGACAGCAGGTGAATAAATCTCCGTAGGTGTTTATCGATATCCTGGTGAGGCCTTTTCTGGAAGAATAACATAACCGGGAAAAGGGTGTCAAGCAACCCAGACACGACACTTGTCGGTTGATAACTTGGTACAGTAATGTACTGTATCTCTGGCATTCAATCACATCATGGCCAGGTTTCAGTCAGTTCCAGGGTCCTTTTGTTAAAAATTTCCGCAATGCATGTACACCGGTCGGCGAAAACACGCACGTCAAGACATTTTAGGACGACAGATCTCGGTCTTGTGCATGGGAAATCGACCGAATGTGGAGAGATTGGAACGTTCTGAGATGAAAAAAGCCTGTCAAATCAATCAGGGCCTTGAAATAAATGAAGGTGAAGGGTGTAGATATCGACTGCATGTCGACGGTTTAGGAAATAGGAGATGCTCCCGTTTGAAGGTCGAGTATGAAGGTACAGGATTATTATGCATTTACGCGGGTCTAATGCAGGTGTCATGTCATGTGCTGTGCAGAGCTAATGCAAATAACCGGCACTTGGGGGTCCTGTCCTGGCCTACGATCTTCTGGCGTCACGTCAGCGTGGAGCATAACTGTATCAAGCTATGCTGCCATCCCGACTTGAAGCTGTCAACTGTACATACCCGGTTAAATAACTTAACTACGATCCAATATTACCTATGATGCAACAGATATTCATGGTTTGAATCCTGAAAACTGACAGAGTACTCATGTTGAGAAGGACGCTTTGATCTGACACAGGCTCCAACTCCAGCCTCTCATTTGCCACTTGACATCAACCAGAGTCATTCTCAATCATGCACCCCCCTAACCAAGAGCCTCTTTGGATCCAAGACACGATTTACCTCCGCTAGACTTGAAGATCATCAGGTCCAGAACTTGGGAAGGACAAGGGAAGCCCCTGGATAACCGGGCCTCCAATCCCTTGAAAGAAGACAACTGTACAGTACTGTACTATGTATTTTGCCTCTTGAGTCTTGACCAAGTATGTACTCCGTAATGTACTGTAAATCACCCCGTCACCGCTATTGAGGCACCGACAATGCCCTTGACATACCGAAGACTTTCGGGATTTCTTCGTTCCCAAACGAATGAAGCAGGTAGTCAGCGACCCTGTTTCCATCCTCGCATGCTGGCTGGGTTGCTGCGTCTGCAATTGGTCTCTCCAGACTTGGGGGAGGTGGCAGGGTTTCCATACCGGTGAGCCTTTTCTTGTGGGGTAGATGGCCTCATAGGCGGTTCTTGTTCATCTCCGCGTTGTTTTTTGGCTGTTGCAATTGGCTGTATGCACTGCCAGTGAGTGCGTGCATGCAGTCGATCCTGCAGCAGCCTCTCAATTACCACCCAAACGTATGATGAAGTGTACATGATGTGCCCGAGTATTAGGACACCACAAAGTATGCGATGCAATGCAGTACATCTCATGCTCAATATCGGGCATTTAGAGAAACCTAACCTAACCTAACCTAACGGCTCATCGGGCGCATCATCCCACGTTGGCATAACCATGGCAAGCACAGTCAGTCTCTCCAAACCTTTGTAAGCTTCGTTACCTTCCCATTATCATGATGACTCCGAACCGCAAGTAAATTACTGTAGCATCTCGGTCAGAGTATCCATGATCTCCTCCGGCCCGAAGCCGTCTTACTGTCTACATTAGTTCTCCGTTCCCGAGAACCCGCCATCCCGATCCTTGCCTGGCTATAGAATGCTGTCTTTAATGTCAAAAAGACCGTCGACATGATGACACCCTCCTACCGAGAAGGCCCACGGCAAGCGAAATCCGCTGTTTCGCAATGGTAAATGCCTCGGCGCGGCTCTTGTAACGTTGAAGCGATGGATGCGATGCGATTCATGGTCAGAACCGTATATCACACCGGATTGAGGGCCCTGCATGTGAAAGAGCAACGCTGCGTGACATGCATCGCGGCTTTTTATTGCAAACGAGGTTGTCTTTCGTTCCTTTCATCTTATCTGGTATTTCTGATTAATCTCTCACAGAGATAAATTCGGAAGGCGCCTTTTATCCAAGGTGTGATCGGTCAAGATAAGGTGTGACTGTGACCGTTGACCTCCGATAAGCTAAGACTTGGCATGAGGGACCTTGACCTTCCCGCGCTGTCGAAGGATGTGTCTGGGGAATGGGGGTTCCCATGTTTGAGGTCTATCATGACCCTTGATAAGTACTGTAGGAGGATGAGGCTGAAAGCTGAAGGAGAACCGGAGATGCAGTATTCGTAGGTCAAAGTGTAGGCGCACTTATCAACAGCCAGCCCAGCCTTGTACCGCTCTGTCTGTATACATGCCTGTATCTGCCCTTGTCTGTATAACTGCCTGTATACATGCCTGTATCTGCCCTTGTCTGTATAACTGCCTGTATACATACCTGTACCAGATACCTGGATCGACAGCGATAACAAGCACAACCTCTATCACAAAGACGCATCTCTCCTTCGTCATCTGATTCAACCGCCAAGTCTGCACCCCACGGTTCAATCGGTATCTGTTCTCTTTATCGACGTCAACGTAAAGCAAACATTCAAGCCTTCATACGATCTGCCGATGTACACACCCTCAGCTGAAAGGACATTCATTCTCGAATAAAAAGAGAAGGCGAAGACCGATGGCTTGAGCACGTGTTTGTCTCAGTTTCTTGTTCCGCTGGCAAGGATATCAACGCCGCCTTGTATTACAATCGAGGACATAAACGGCAGGTAGAAAAGATGAAAATGTCAGAGTTGCAGTTACAATCACAGTGTAAGCGATGGAATACTCCGATAGCCGCGCTTTGCGTATGAGCTTACATAGAGCAACAGCGCATAGACCCTCATGTTCTTACTCATCGTCATCATTCTCTTGGTTACACCAGCTAAAACAAAGACCATGACGCTGTACGTCCAAGCACACATGAAGCTTGTACTCGGAATGTCTTCCCCGTTTAGAGTATCTCGTGTCTTGTCTAAATTAACTAGCCAGCCACAGTAAGGCTGTTAGCCTCAAACTCTGATGAACCGTTGCGATGCGATGCGAGGCGAGGCGAGAAAAGAGAAAACTATTCCGTACTAGTTTCCGAAATCATGACCAGGACAGAAGATCAAATTAAAAGCAAAGACGAATGTACGTAAGTGAAGCA